AAAATAAACAAATGGGACCTAATGAAACTTAAAAGCTTTTGCACAACAAAGGAAACTATAAGCAAGGTGAAAAGACAGCCCTCAGATTGGGAGAAAATAATAGCAAATGAAGCAACAGACAAAGTATTAATCTCAAAAATATACAAGCAACTCCTGCAGCACAATTCCAGAAAACTAAATGACCCAATCAAAAAATGGGCCAAAGAACTAAACAGACATTTCTCCAAAGAAGACCTACAGATGGCTAACTGGAGATTTTAAGTTAAAAAATTCTGTGATTTTAAACTTCATTCGGGAATATAGTATGAAGTCACAGTTTATTTTTTCCTTTCTAAAACAGTACATATTTCCTAGCTCTCTCCCCTGGAAATGCCTGAAAACAATAACAAATAAGGAGCAGCGAACACCCTTAGCATCCATCTAAATACCATTTTCCCCTTTAAAGGAACCAGAATTCCATGGAAAAGTGCCACTTCCAGGTGCTGGGCAGGAAATGTGCAAGATGTCCTAGGACAGCTTGCCTGAAAGCAAAGAAGTTATATAAGAATACTGTCTGAGGTTTTATCAAAAGGACACAGGAGCTCAGTTGATGGGGGCTTTTACCAGCCAAAAATGGGACAATAAGAACATGAAAAAAGAAGTTGCTCTTTTAACCTCGTGTTTGACAGCTACCATGTAGAGTTTTCCCACACATCTTTCTGAGTTCTTACACTGCAACTTTTAAGTCCGTATGTGTCATTTCCTTTTTCTTTTCACTTTATTTTGGTGGTTACCAACCTCTGTAAGATAAGTTTTACATATCTGAGGCAGAATTTAGAGTAGCTTCTGCCAATACTTCATGGCAAATAGTTGGGGAAACAATGGAAACAGTGAGAGACTTTAATTTTGGGGGCTCCAAAAATCACTGCAGATGGTGACTGCAGCCATGAAATTAAAAGATGCTTGCTCCTTGGAAGAAAGGCTATGACCAATCTAGACAGCGTATTAAAAAGCGAAGACATTACTTTGCCAACATAGTCAAAGCTATGGTTTTTCCAGTAGTTATGTGTGGATGTGAGAGTTGGACTGTAAAGAAAGCGAAGCACCGAAGAATTGATGCTTTTGAACTGTGGTGTTGGAGAAGACTCTTGAGAATCCCTTGGACTGCAAGGAGATCCATCCAGTCCATCCTAAAGGAGATCAGTCCTGAGTGTTCATTGGAAGGACTGATGCTGAAGCTGAAACTCCAGTACTCTGGCCACCTGATGCAAAGAGCTGACTCATTTGAAAAGACCCTGATTCTGGGAAAGATTAAGGCAGGAGGAGAAGGGTGGCTGGCATCACTGACTCGATGGACATGAGTTTGAGCAAGCTCTAGGAGTTGGTGATGGACAGGGAAGCCTGGCGTGCTGCAGTCCATGGGGTTGCAAAGAGTCGGACATGACTGAGTGAACTGAACTGCCTATACTTTTCAGAGTTAAAATTTTACTTTGAACTTAAGGATCTTTCTGTAGAGTATACACAGAGTTAGATATACTTTTTTATATTCAGAATAGTTTAATATCAAACCTTTTGCTGATTGAATCTTGGAGTCAATATATAAATTACTTTTGGGGGTACTTTTATAAAAAGGAGGATATCTTTACTACTGAAAAATAAAATTACAAAGGAACAAAAACAATGTAAGTTAGATGAGGATTGGCATATGAAATTTAGAGATGACAAATGCTAGAATGTGTAATCATTTGCTTGGTATTTTATTTATTTATTTGCAAGCATTAGTTAAGTATGTTCCAGGACACTGTGTTAAGGGCTAAAGTTAAAAATAAATTTAAAGACATGACCCTTGTCTCCAGTGACTTACATAGAAAACACTTTTATTTCTCAAGTTTTAACCTCTGAAGTGAAATAGGTTTATATAAGATAAAAACCTATTTTTAGCAGCAGAGTTTTCATAATAGTCAGTTAACCAGTTAATCATCATTCCCACTTGCAAGGATTTCAGTATTTCTTGATTTTCCTTTGTTTTTGTTTTTTGTTTGTGTGTATTTAAGTTAGTATGACTTTTCAGTGTCATAGTGTTAATTCTTATTCACTACCTGAAAGTATACAAAGAGTTGGACAAAAGCAAAGTGGTGACTCCAGGTTTTGTAGTGAGTCTGTTTAGAACCTAAAATAGGCGTTTTTGTGGGGGAGAATTTTCTTCAGCGAAATATGTTACCTGCTTTATTTTAATGTTATAATCATATTTATAGATTAAAATATATTTGTTAAATATTTATTCCTTATTTTATATCAAGAAGTATGAATTAAGAAATAACTTCTTAATCAAAATTCACTGTCCTGTGTTGGTCTGTTCTTGTGTAACTGTATTAATGGTAATTACAATCTGATATAAATAATCCTAATAGTATTGTCTCTCTTAACAGATTTTATTAAACAGAGAAGAGCAGGATTGAATGAGTTCATTCAGAACTTAGTTAGGCATCCAGAGCTTTACAACCAGTAAGTAATTTTTGTTGTGTTCTGAGGACACCCTGAAACCCAGCCTCAGATCTGTGGAATGTTATTTTGTGCTGTATATTTTTGTGGAATCTTCCTCAAGCATTTTTCGCCTGGTGTTTTTAATCCTCTAAGAATTTTCCACCTGCTCTTAACTTTTCTTTTCCCTCCATCAACTCAAGGTCCTAGTTACTTTCTTTCTTCCTACTGTACTTGTATTTGTTTTATAGATTTACCTTGAAAAGACTTTGCACAGTTAAAACATTTTGCTGATTATTTGATGCTATATTTATCCATGCACTGAGAAAGCATTTCCTCATGTACCTCTGTGTGGGAATAAAAGAAGAAATGGGAATAAAAGGAGAAATGAGTGTTACCCTTACCTTCCAGAGGCATCAGCTGCCATGCTTTTAACAGACTTCTCAGAGTCACAACACGGGAGGACTGTATTTTTAACTGTTATCCTCCTAACAGTGATTACTATTTTATAGTTCTTTACAGTTGATAGAGGATTTCTATCTTCTGAGCAGGTGCTCTGACCTCCTTTTTAACTTAATTTACTAAATTAGTAAAATACTGGAGCTGGACCTCCTCTGACCAAGGTCTTCAGCCCGGTGGGCTGGGTTTCCCTTCCCGGGATGCTCACAGATAAGATGAGGGTCCGGGCAGGTCAGCCCCTGCTGCAGCTCTGGGATTGCCCTCTGCAGGGAGGAGCAGGTGGCAGAGGGGCCCACAGCTGGGTAGGACCCTTGAATTCAGGGTTCCTGCGTGTCTTGTGTGTTCCTCAGCAAAGAACCTTTTATCACTTGGCTCTTTGTATAGTTATTTTTTAAGCATTATGCCTTTTCCCTCAGACAAATTCTATGTTATCTTCCGCTTAGATCATTTATCCTTCTAAGTAAAAACAAAATAAAAGTTAGTTTTTATTTTTAACTTGTATCTATTTATTACGGCTCTTCTGGGTCCTCGTTGCTGCAGGGGCTTTGCTCTAGTTGTGGAGAGTGGGCTCTAGTTGTGATGTGCAGACTTCTCGTGGCAGTGGCTTCTCTTGTTGCAGATCACCGGCTCTAGGGCACACGGGCTTCGGTAGCTAGGCTCCTGGGGTCTTAGAGCACAGGCTCAGTAGTGGGGTGAGGGGGCTCAGTTGCTCTGCATTATTGTGGGATGTTCCCGGATCAGGGATTGAACCCATGTCTCCTGCATTGGCAGGCAGATTCTTCACCACTGAACCACCAGGGAAGCCCTACCTTTCTAATGTTTAATTATTATTATATGCACTTGAGATTACTTTGAATTGATGTATTTCTGACTTGTTTGAAATTCATACACTAAGAGCTTGAATTTGTCTCCTTTGACGGAACTTCACATGGAGTAAGTATAGAATAGATGGTGGTGATGTTTATTATTTCTGCTGGTATTTTGAACGCTGTTACTCAGAACTTCTGACAGTGTTTGTTAAATTTTAAGCATTCATTTTGGATCTCGAAGTGTGGTATTATAAAGATGTTACATTTGGTATTGAAATTTAACTAAAACCAATTTGCTTGTTTCATTTTAACATTATACTATAAAATACGCAATTCTTAATTGTACAGCCCAATAGATTTTTACATATATATGCACCTCTTCCATTTAAAGTAGAGGACTTTTCCAGCACCCCCAGATTAAATAGCCAAGAAGTTTTTTTAAAATTTTCAATGTAATGTTTAACTGATGTTTTCTATTTAATAAAAAGTGACATTTCACGTTTTCTGGATCTCCTCTGTTAACGGAACTTTGTTAGTTTCACACTCTCCATTTGAACATCAAACTGTTTATAAAAATAGTATAGGTTTAAGAAAACAGAAAGAGAAGCCAATCAGCAAATGTATCTTGAACACCTACTATATGCCTATTCTTATTATGTGTGGAAAAAGCACTTCAAAAGTAGCTTTCCGTTAGTAGAGGAAAGGTTATTTTTAAGATAACGTCTATTAAAATGGAATTTTAAAACCCAAGTAAAATATTATTATTTCTCTGACCTGTGGATAGGAAAGGGTTTTCTGAGCATATTGGCAGTGAGTGATATGTTGCAAAGTAAAACAGTGATAAAGCTGAGTAATAAAACCTTTTGACCTCCAAAAATTACAAGTGAAATTTAAAACCAAAAATATAAAAAGTTTCCCATGAATAAAGGACAGTAGATAAATATACTTACTAAAAGAGCTCATGCAGATAATACACACTTAAGGACCCCCCCCAAAATAGACAGAGTACATTAACAGATGCAAATGACTGATTAATTATTGGAGAAACTGAATGTTTCCTTATCTATTTAAAAAATGCAAATGAACAAAAATATTTTAGCTTTATTGCAGCATAACACAAATAGAAAAGAGCACAAGTCATGACTGTACAGCTTAGTGAATTATGAGGAAGTGAATATATCTGAGTATCACCCCCTCTGGGCCAAGGAATAGAGCATTATTAGCACCCCAATATTGAATATGATTCCTTGTACTATGCAGTAGGTTCTTGTTGTGTATCTTTTTTATATATAGAAGTGTGTATATTGGAGAAGGAAATGGCAACAACACTCTGGTGTTCTTGCCTGAAGAATCCCAGGGAAGGGGGAGCCTGGTGGGCTGCCATCTATGGGGTCAAACAGAGTCGGACATGACTGAAGCGACTTAGCAGCAGGAGCAGCAGTGTGTATATACTAATCCCAAACAGTATGGAGGTTTCCTTAACAAACTAAAAGAAGTTACTTCACGATCTGCAGCCCCACTCCTGGGCATATATCTGGAGACTACTCTAAGTCAAAAAGATAGGTGCACCCCAGTGTTCATAGCAGCACTATATACAATAGTCAAGACACGGAAGCAACCTAAATGTCCGTGAACAGATGAATGGATAAAGAAGATGTGACGTGTGTGTGTGTGTGTGTGTGTGTGTGTGTGTGTGTATGTATACACATAATAGACTATTACTCATCCATAAAAATGAAATAATGCTACATGGATTGACCTAGAGATTATCATATTAAGTGAAGTAAGTCAGACAAAGACAGACAAGTACAATATGATAGAATTTTTATGTGAAATCTAAAATAATGATACAAATGAAATGATGGCAAAACTGAAATAGACAAAACAAACTGATGGTTACCAGAGAGGAGAGCAACAGGGTGGAGAGTAGGGGGAAGATAAATTATCATTTGGGGATTAATATATCTCAACTTTTTAAAAGAAAGAAAACAATTTAGGAGGAGGTACCCAGATGTACAGATGTAACCATTCCTCAGGATCGTCATTAATCTGTGCAGTCTTATTTCTTCTTTATGGGCTTCCCTGGTAGCTCAGTTGGAAAAGAATCTGCCTACAGTGCAGCAGACCCCAGTTCTATTCCTAGGTCAGGGAGACCCACTGGACAAGGGATAGGCTACCCTCCCCAGTATTCTTGGATTTCCCTGGTGGCTCAGCTGGTAAAGAATCCACCTGCAGTGTGGGAGACCTGGGTTTGATCACTGGGTGGGGAAGATCCCCTGAAAAAGGAAAAGGCTACCCACTGCAGTATTCTGGCCTGGAGAATTCCAGGGACTTTATAGTCCATAGGGTTGTAAAGAGTCGGATACAACTGAATGATTTTCACTTTCTTTCCTCTTTATATCCGTTTGTTCATACCCACTGTTAATACCCACTTCAGCAGGTTTGTTGTATGCCTTTGGGTATATATTGAGTGACTGTTGCTTTGTGTCTGAGTATTTAATGTGTCCACATAATGGTGCTTTGCTGTGGTTCCTTGTTTCTGACCACTGTCTGTCTGGTTGGTCTCCTTTGCAGCCAGTTACCGTAGCTTGCTTACTCATTTCCCTAGTGGTGGATGGCTGTTCTGCTTCTGATTCACAGCTATAGAGAGTATAACAATGAGTCTCCTAGTTACATGTCTTTCGCTGAACTTGTACCTAATTTTTTTCTGTAGTTTATTCTTAAAACTGAAATTTCTGACCCCAGGGAAAATGTATACTCAGTTTAACCAAATATTGCCAAAATGCTTTTCAGAAAAGTTGCCTCATTTTATATTCTCTTGAGCAGTACATGAGGGTGTTCCTTTCCCTTCATCCCTGCCAACTTGGGGTTTTATGTATCTTTCTAGATTTTTTTGATTAGTGGATGTAAAATGACTTCTCACCGTTGTTTGTTTTTTCCTGATAATTAGTGAAGTTAGCCATCTTCCTAAATTTCATTACCATTTGCATTTTTCTCTTTTGTGAACCTTTGCCCATTTGTTTATTGGACTCCCTGTTTTTAAAAATTAATTTGCTTATTACAATTCAATAGTGATTATTATTGGATTTTGTTTGCCTTTCTTACTATAAATTCTATAATGCTTACTTTTATTATCATGTTAAAAAGAGAAAAGGTGTAGAAATGCAGTCATAATAAAGTTAATTTTTGTTTTTAGTCCAGATGTCAGAGCATTCCTTCAAATGGACAGTCCAAAACATCAGTCAGATCCATCTGAGGATGAGGATGAAAGAAGTACTCAGAAGGTAGTAAGAGGAATTGTATTTTTTAACAGAAAAAAAAATACCATTCCCCAAAGATGAAATTATTGGCAACTTTAGAAACCACATATACTTAAAATAATTTCTTCCATTATAGATTTTCTACTGTGTAGAAAACATAAAAACAAATGTGTATACTTCTAAGTGATCACTGTTTCTTTTAAAATTGATTAAATGAGTACTTTTTATAATAAAAAGTAATGTAAATTAAAGATTTGAAAATAGTAAGTCAGAAATATCCATATTATCAACAACCAGACCTATTTTTAATATTTCAGTAATTTTCTTTCTAATATATGAAAGATTTCTTAATATATGAATTTTTAATTACTTGATTTTAATTATACAGCATATAAAGTTTTGTGTTCTACTCTCTTTACATCATACTTTTTGATCATCATGTATCTTCATCAAGATCACTGTAACTTGAAATGGTGAATTTTGGCCAGCAGAAGAGGGCTTTTCAACCAGACACTACATACCTCTTCCTCTGCTTTGTCAGGTTTTGATATGTAGAGCAGTCAATATACATGTGCTGGTTGGCGTTGACTAAGTTTTATTGCTGTAGTTATATGCACATAATTAATATGTATTCTGAATAAAGAATAGGTATTCTTATTTTTTTAATGAATTGTGATATAGTAAGTTTGTGCTTTCTTATGAAGACATTTTCAACATATACTTTGAAAGGTTATATTAGAAAGGTAAATTACCATAATTTAACTCAGGATTATTATGTAGCAGTTAAAAGTACATTATAAAAAAAGCATAATTGCAAGTGTTTATAAATACCTTTATAATTCAGAATTGATTCATGCTATTGGTGAATACATAAATGAAAACGAGAGATGTATAGTTTTGTCTTTATGATGTTGTAATTTTGTCATGGTGCTGTTTTTCTGATTTAAAAGGTAATGTCATTACCCACAGCTAAAATCTTCATTTGAAAAATAGACGTGACTACTAGAAAGTAGTTTTAATTCTCTAAGAGGGCCCTCAGTTAAGAGAATAGCTTTAACTCTTTACATTTGTGACAGGGTTGCTCCTAGGACAATGTAAAAGGATATTTTAATTTCATATATGTGCAGTTGGTCAAAAGAGAAATAACCAGTTGGGAAAACATAGTAAATAAAGCATAAGAAGGAAAAATATCTGTGTAAAAAAAAAAAACTCAAAAAAATGGATTTTCAAAAAGAATGATATTTAAGACTATAGTAGATGAAAGGAACAGGACCATGAAGAAATACTCTTGGTAAACAAATATATGGGGAAATGTTCAGCCTTGATGCCAGTAGCAAATAAAAATTTTAAATGACAGGTTTTTTTCCTCTACCAAATTAACAAAAATGTCAAGAAACTGAAAATACACCAGGACTAATAAGGGTATGGTAAGTTGGGCATCCTTGGGCCTTACTGGTGTTATCATTTTATGCAGCTCTTCGAAAGCAATTTGGCATAGTGTATCAAACATGAAAATAATTCATGTCATTTAGGAGTTGATGTAAATGAAACAACCCTTCTCACAGAAAAAAGCAAAGATGTTCACTTTAGTATGATTTATAATGAAAAGTTAGAATCAGTTTGAACATTCATCAAATAGTGATTGTCCCTATATATTGTACATTTAAAAAACATTTCTAAGGATGATATTATATTAAGTTTTGACATACCATTAAATGAAATCAGGGTATAAAACTTTTTACGCAAATTTACACAGTGTGAGCATGGTCAGTTTTTAGAAGTTAATGGAAAGACTGTGGAGGTGCTAGAAGTATTTGTAATCAAATTACTTGTTAGTATTGATTTTTAAAGACAGCTTACTACTATTCAAAAAATATTTTAAGGAGTGAAATGTATGTGACCATGATTTTCTTTGTTAATCATGTTGAGCATGTGTAGGTGTACAGGTCATGTGAAGAATATCTTGCCCTGCTGTAGGAAAATGCTTTTTGAGGAAAGAACCAGACTAAGAGAAATTGCTGGGTTCTGGCTCCTGTTCTGTCTTTGTTGACTTTAGATCCAGATTTTGTTTCTTGTTTCATCCATAAAATCTGGAACTTGGACTAGGATCTTTTGCTGTTTTAAAATACCAATAAAAAGAACCTCTCCAAAAAAAAAAATCCTTGCTTCATCTTATACTTGTAAATATTTATTTTTTTTATTTTTTAATTAAAATGTATAGGAAATGTATCAGTTTGGTGCCAACATTGTTACTTTATAAGAAATGTATACTTTAGACCATTTGCCCTTAATTTAAAAAAATAACTTGTTTTCTAGAGATTGTAAGTTGCAAATGAATTTAAGTGGGAATATATATGACATGTCTCTAATAAGAATTTGCTTAGATAAAGTTGTTGATTCTGATTAAAGAGAATGTTTTTTAAAACTTATTTTTTATATATATTTTATATGACATATAATTGTATAGGGCTCTGGTAAATGTGCATATTTGAGACATCTCTGATTTAATTCTTTGAATGTATTAAGAATTTCATAGTGAATTTTTTGAAGCAGAATTCACTTCCATTTGGCTTTTGTGAAAAGTGCTCACTGTAAAAAGATCACTAGTTTAATCTTTTGGGATTTTGAGTAAATTTCTAGCTAATTATTAGTGAGCTAGAATTTTACTAGTTAAATTACTTTATGGTATACTATATTAATAGGTGAGTAAAGATTTGCTTCTAAGTTAATAGAGATTAAATGTACTGTGCTAACTGTTACAATAAGAGAAGCCTATCTAAAAATTAGGTACTATCACAATAGTGGAATTAGGGAGAAAAGCACTCTTGGTTTTATGTGCTTGCTTTAGAAGTAAATTTACCTCCTCCCAAATTAAAACTTTAATCCAGCATTTGCAGTTATAATCATCATCACATGATCATTTCTTATCTTTAATAATAGCTTATTAAAATATTTGAAAATTTAAAAACAAAAGCTATTTTAACTAATTTTTCAATGTAAAAAAAAAAATGATTCCTCTTAAATTGTTATTTCAGTGCCCACCTCTTCTAAGGAGCTTTCTGCAGTTTACTTTATTCATTTGCCATCTTTGAGCTTGATTTCTGCCTTACCTTTTTCCTTAGAACTTCTCTTGAAATTTATCATTAAAATGATTGTTTATATTGATTGTGTATCTTTCCAAGACTCTACATATTTATTGAGAATTAAAGCTTTAGGTTTAACATGGCAAATATCTGTGATACAGTTATATGTATTTTACTTCAGAAATATCCATTGACTGATAACCTTTGAAACTCTAGTAAGAATGTTAAATTCTTTTCTTTTTTTTCCATCCCAACAGCTACTCTCTACCTCACAGAACATCAACCTGGGACCATCTGGAAATCCTCAGTAGGTTTAATTTGTTTCAACAATCTAAATGGATTTGAGGAAGATCTTTTTTTGTAAATGTGCAGATGTGCATAATTATACCAATTTAACTGGAAGCCTGTGAAATAGAACTGTGGTTACAGTGACTGTCATACGCTTTTCTGATTCACTGCTCTAGCTTCTCTTTGTTATAGTAGAGCTCTGAGGAGTTTTTAATCCATAGATTGTTGGTTGGGTTCTGCTGTTTTGCCATTGTCACTTTCCTGGGGTGTGTGTGTGTGTGTGTGTGTGTGTGTGTGTAAGATGAGTAGACCATGCCATTGTCACTTTCCTGGGTGTGTGTGTGGGGGTGTGTGTGTGTGTGTGTGTGTAAGATGAGTAGACCATGCCATTGTCACTTTCCTGGGTGTGTGTGTGTGTGTGTGTGTAAGATGAGTAGACCATGCCATTGTCACTTTCCTGGGGGTGTGTGTGTGTGTGTGTGTGTAAGATGAGTAGACCATGCCATTGTCACTTGCCTGGGTGTGTGTGTGTGTGTGTGTGTGTGTATGTAAGATGAGTAGACCATATTTCCCAGAGGAGCAGAAGTCCTGGGAGGCACTTGGGAAGTACTCTGGCAAACACATCTGTCCAGGCCTAATTGATATTCTCCTGGTGCCCAATGTTATCGGTACAGCCCTGGTTGTTAGCCAGCTTGGTCCAGAGGAGACTTGATGGAAATCAGCATATGAAAAGCTATTAAACTTTTTTTTTTCCAGTTTCTCCCATAGTCCCGTATTTATTTGAACCCAGGGGAAACATTTGGCAGAACACCAGGAGTGGCAAATGTAGGCTTCGCTTTAAGGTTCAACTCCAACAACTCATTGGGGTACAGGGGAGTCCAAGGCCACTTCCTGGCTCAGTTTGAGGAGGGCCCTGACAGATGAGTGATGATGCTGTGGGTTACAAGAGGAGTATAGTGTGGCCGTCCTCATAATTATCCTTCCAAGCTTACCAGGTTAATTCTAACAAATTCTCTCTTAGCCCAGCACACTGTGCTGCTTCTCTCACCCTTTTGGTCCATTTAGAGAATGAGTATGAAGTGAAGTGAAAGTTGCTCAGTTTGTCCAACTCTTTGCGACCCCACGGACTGTACAGTCCATGGAAATCTTCAGGCCAAAATACTGGAGTAGCCATTCCGTTCTCCAAGGGATCTTTCCAATCCAGGGATCAACCCAGGTCTCCTGCACTGCAGGCGGGTTCTTTACCAGCTGAGCTGCCACGGGAGCCCAATGAGTATAGACAGGAGAAATGATGAAAGGCGACTAAAGAAAGAATAATTAGTAAGGTGGGAAACCAGCAATGTGGTGTCACAAAAGCAGTTGAAGACAGGGAATACATAACTGTTGACATTGCTGATAAGGTGGGTTTAGATGAAGATTGAGAATGGACCGCTAAATTTAATGTCACGGGTGACTTCTGTGAGCAGTTTCAGTCATATGTTGGATACAAGAGAGTTTGTCAGGCAGCACAGAATGGAAATATGCTTCCAGTTAGGGTTTATCACCAACAATTAACAGTAGGACTTTGGCTGTGGCCTCGGTGTGTTTACTGTGTTTGAAGGATTTGCATGTTTTTTCACTATTAGATTTGTTCAAAACATGATTTCAGTATTTCAGCGTATCATTAGAGAACAAAATAGTTCAAAGAGCAAGTTCTCGAAGAAGAAAAACACCTAAGCTTAGTTAAGTATTTATCTCCCTAATCCTGACCTGTTATTGTTTAACCCAGACCTGGTATTACTCTCATGTTTGTATTGACTTTATTTTGGTAATTAATTGAAGGACATTTAAAATGTGAATGGAGTCATTTCACTCTCCCTAGTCCAATTTAGGAATTCATCCTTTGTTAAAGAAAACAGCTCTTCTGGCTACTTAAGTTCAACTTTGTGCAGCTGTCTGTTTTTGCCTACACACAGCCAGTGCTGCTTTTAACCTGAGGTTAAGATAAATAAAAAGACAATCATAGTATTCTTTCTGCCTGCTCGACTCCTGGCTTTTCTACATTACCATCTATGAGAATCAGTAGAGAGTTCTTTTATTTTTAACATGCAAGTAATGTGTATGCAGAACACTGTGGTGACTTTTTCTCTATCAGAAAATTTTCTTAGTGACTTCACCAGGTATTCCTGCTAGTAACTTCGTTTTCATAATAATTTCCAGACTACTTAGTCCTTGAAATATATCACTAATTTATCTAGTCATTCAGTTTCCTCATTAACAATATTGTGAGGTTTATGGTTAATAAAAGTGATTTGCTACATTGAGTTCAAAATGATAGATCATAGATAGATAGACAGACCTTGTTCTCCCAAAAAGAGTATTACTGAAGCCCTTCTTAAGCCAAACTTAACAAGGCTTAAATAAAATGACAAAATCTCTTATCTAACCAGAAAGTAGATATTATTACTATTCATTATTACCCACTCCAGTGTTCTTGCCTGGAGAATTCCATGGACAGAGGAGCCTGGAAAGCTACAGTTCATGGGGTCACAAAGAAATGGACACGACTGAGTGATTATCACTCGTTCACTCATTACCTTTTTTATACTAAAGATGAGATCCTACCACTGTAAAGGCTGGAGTTCTCACGCTGAAGTGTACCCAAGATTTACATATTAAGGAGTGAAGTATTAAAAACTGTTGAAAAGTTAACATCTTATCAGTTTTCTTGGAGGCTAATTCTTTTCATTTTTCATTTATTTCAGTGCTAAACCAACAGACTTTGATTTCTTAAAAGTTATTGGAAAAGGCAGCTTTGGCAAGGTAAGAGTATTTTTATTTTTTCTTCTGTAAATTAGTACTTAAAAAATGGATGCTTTTCTAAAATTAATTGTAAAGAGTCTGCCTGCCAACGCAGGAGACACCGGTTCAGTCTATGGGTCAGGAAGATCCTCTGGAGTAGGAAACGACAACCCACAACCCACTCCAGTACCCTTGCCTGGAAACTTCCATGGACAGAGTAGCCTGGTGGGCTGTAGTCCATGGGATCGCAAAGAGTCAGATGTGACTGAGCACACACACATAGCTGATTTATAATGTTGTATTAGTTTCTGCCGTATAGCGAAGTGAATCAGTCCAGATAGATAGACAGAGATTCTGTGTCCATATAGGTCATTACAGAATGTGAAACAGAGTTCCCTGTGCTATACCATAGGTTCTTACTGTCTGTTTTTTATATAGTAGTGTATTTATATCGATCACAATCTCCTGCCCTTTCCCCACTGATAACCATAGATTTGTTTTCTACATCTGTGACTCTTTCATCTGTTTTGTAGATAGGTTCATTTGTACCAGTTTTTTAGATTCCACCTAAAAGTGATACCATACAATATTTGTTTTTCTCTGTTTGACTTACTCCACTCAGTATAACAATCTCTAGGTCTCTCCATGTTGCTGCAAATGGGGTTATTCCATTCTTTTTTATGGCTAAGTATTATTCCATTGTGTATTTGTACCACATCTTCTTTATTCATTCCTCCATCAATGGGATGGACATTTAATTTGTTCCCATGTCTTGGCTGTTGCAAATAGGGCTGTGATGAACATTAGGTGCATGCATCCTCTTGAATTCTAGTTTTCTTTGGGATATATGCTCAGGCATGGGATGGCTGGGTTATATGGTAGCTCTATTTTTAGTTTGTAAGCAATTTCCATACTGATTTCCATAGTGGCTGTGCCGGTTTATAGGGGAATGCATGCTTTATATATGGGATACCATGGGGCTTGTTGGTATGCAGGATATAGAATTAAGATGCTTTTTCTCCCTTCAAAGAACTGACTATAGAATAATTTGAGATACAAGGCATCTACTCAGATTCTAACCTAAAATTTATTTGTTCAGCGAGTATTTTGTTGAGCACCTATGTGCTAAGCAACTGTTCTGGTCCCTCTTAGATGGTATTGAACAGAAATGACATGCTTTGTACCTTTGTCATGCTTACATCCTATTGAGGGAAATAGTCAATTAAAAATATTCAGTCAAGTAAATAATTACGTGTAGTAATGGAGCTGTGAAGGAGATGAAGACTAGAGTCAAGAGACAGGAAAGTAGGCGGTCGGGGGGAAGCCCCCACTTAGGTGAGTTAGTCAAGGATAGCGTTATACATGTACACATACACACACGCATATTTTGGCTACACTGACGCATGGGGGCTTCTTTAGTTGCAGGCATGGGCTTAGTTGCTCCACGGCATGTGGGATCTTAGTTCCCCAAACTGGGAATTGAACCTGCATCCTCTGCATTGGAAGGTGGATTCTTAACCACTGGGCCACCAGGGAAGTCCCTAAGGATGACTTCTTTGAAGAGGTATTATTTAAGTTGAGGCCATAAAGACATCCGTGAGCAGCTGTGTAAACAGCAGTTGGAGAAGGAAAGGGAAGTTTGAGCCCCCCGTCCCTCTTCATGCAGTGAATATTGAGTGAATCACGAAACTTGACAGCGTGCCACAGCAAGCAAGAAGAATCCCTAAAGCCAGAAGCATCATAGATGGGAGTTGTCAGAATCATCAAATGTATTTAAGTTCCTTTTTTGCATTATACTTCAATCTGTAGTAAAAATAAATATGTATGTGTTTAATTATAGTGTGCTATATTCATAGCTTCCAGTATCTAGATCTGGTTTGTTTTTTGAGTTCCCTAGAGACCAGAAACTGTAACCATAAAATTATACCCATGTGTGTTCATTAATTCAGCAAATATATGTTTGCCACCTGCTACATTCTGGGCATTGTGCTAATATAAGCCATAGAAAAGTAGAAGTGCATCTTGCTGTCAGAATGCTCACAGTCTGTTGGAATGTTAGAGATAGTCTGTTGTTAAAGACAGCATTATCTTTCGGAAAGCTCATGTTTGGACCTAGAGTCAAATAGATCTATCTAATGTATATAATGTGAGGCTTAGGGTCACGCTTCACTTTTTTCCTCATGAATGTCAGCTGATCCTACACAGTTGATTGAAAAGATTTTTCTTTCCCTTCTACTCTGCAGGGTAACATCCATCATATATCCAGTGTCCATATATGTGTTGGGTCTGTTTCTGGATTCTGTGTTCTAGATTTTGTATTTTGTTTCATTAACTGATTTGTCTATCCTTGCACCAGTACCACATTGTCTTGAAAATGAAGGTTGATATTCAACAGAACATCTTCTCTCCTTGCTCCTCTTCAAGAGACTCTTCTTAGCCCTTTGTGTATCAGTCTTAAGTTTTAGAATTAGCGTGTCAAGTTCAACAAGATTCTTTTGGATTTTGATCAATTGCTTTGAATCTGTAGATCAATTTGGAAAGAATTGTCATCTTAACCAGTACTGAGTCTTCCAATCCATGACCGTGGCATATCCCTTTGTTAATTTAATTCATCTTAAGCTTTTGTTGGTAGTGTTTTGTGGCATTCTGTATTTAATTTTTCCATATCTTTAATTGAGTGTATTCCTTTGTGTTTCATTTTTTATGCGGTGAGAACTGGTATTAAACCTGGAAGCTGAATATATGCCTTACCTGTGACACACTGCTTCTCCTCCAAGCTGTGTAGCCACCAGTAATGCTTGCACATACCCACTAGGAAAGGCGTGTGCCAGAATATTCATAAGCTTCATTGTTCATCATCTAAATGTCACTGAAAGAGTGGATAAATTGTGGTATGTCTATGGAATGCAATACTCAGCTCTGTTTGGGTTGGCCAAAAAGTTCATTTGGGTTTCCTGTAATATTGTATGGAAAAACCCAAACGCACTTCTTGGCCAATCTAATACATGTCACAATGTGAACATGTTATATAGAGTGAAAGAAGTCAGGCAGGCACAACATTATCTATGTGATTCCAATTACATAAAATTCATAGACAGAACTCACCTGTTTTACTGCAGGTGAAAATAGTGGTCATCTTTGAGGAAGAAAGGGGATGAATCATTTCTGGAATAGGGCAAATGGGAGGCCTCAGGCTACTGACAGTGTTTGGGTTTTTTGACCTGAAAGTGATTACATAGTGTGTCCATTTTGTAATAATTTATTGAGCTGTGATGTTTGTGAGTTTTTCTACATGCATATTATGTTTAGTAAAAGCTTTAAACCTAGCAAAATGCTTAGGCACCGGCAAAGTACAATAAAACAAAAGTGGAGTACACAAAAGAAAAAAAAGCAGGCATAAATGCAGATTCACAATGAATGTGAAAAATAGAAAAATATGTGTGACAGACTAAAATAAATAATGTGAATCTCACATTCTAAGCTTTTCTGCAAATGGTGGTCTTGGTTCCACTTTTCATTTGCCCTTCTGTTTCTTAACTGTCTATTCTCCACATCTACTAATCGGCTGAAAAAATACCTACCATCAAGACACTTCCTAGTTGCCACATCCTTTGAATTACTTTCTTAGAACATACTTGAAGATGAGCCAATCAGAGTAGAGAAGGGAAGGTCAGGTGGGTGGGAGTTGTCAAGGAAAGAAAAAAAAAATGTAAGAAAGAAGAAACATTCACTGGAGTCAAGTATTGTAGAGAACAAAAGCTTGAGAAAAAGAGAGATGCCTGCAGTTGAACTGAGGAAATGTACCTGAAGGTATTTTTTACTTTGTTTTTATGAGTAACAAACATTTTAATTGATAGACTTTATTTTTTAGAACCATTTTAGATTTACCAAAAAAAAAAAAAAAAACTGAGTAGAGAGAAGATTCAGGGGGACTTCTCTGGTGGTCGAGTACCTGAGACTCCAAGCTCCTAATGCACGGGGCCTGGGTTTGATCCCTGATCAGGAAATGAGATCCCACATGCCAGAACTGAAAATCCTACATGTCATAAGAAAGACCCAGCATAGTCAAATAAAATTAATATTTAAAAAAAATTTTTTAAAAGAAAGTTCAGAGAATTTCCAAACCACTAATTTGCTCTATTTAGTAACATTTTACATCAGTATGATATATTTGTTCCAAGCAGTGGGCCAATATTGATCCATAATTATGGACTTAAGCCCATCATTTATTCAGATTTCCTTAGTTTTTACCCAGTGTCCTGTTTTTTTTGTCCCATCCAGGACATTTAGTTGTCATGTCTCCTTAGGACCTTTCTTGTGTTTGAGGGCCTTGATGGTTTTGACAAGCACTGGTTAGGTATATTGTAAGACGTCTGTCTGTTGTTGGAGTCTGGTGTTTTTCTCAAGACCAGACTGTGATTACAGATATAAGTGAGGAAGACCACAGATGTACTGAAAAGTAAGGCCCAGCATTGTCACCAGTGGCAGATCATCTCAAGATGTTTTGAAATGTATCAGCTGATAGTTAAACAACTTGTAGGGTGTCTTGAATCCCTTAAAATTTATTTCTAAAACTTTGGAGTATGCCTGCCTTTTTTCTGGGGCAAAATCTTCTAAGTTTCTTCACATCCATGAAGTGTCTGTGAACCGCAGCCCATTATAGAATCTCAGCTGCACACGGTGCTTGTTTCTCTGAATGCTTCTAAATTTGAAACCTATAAGAGAAACACAAATGTTAAAACGAAAATGCATTTTGATCACTGAGAAACCATTTTCTTCTCTCTTTTTTTTAATGTGGCCATGAAATTTATAGCCTCAGTACTCAGGGCTAGCACGCAACGTGTGCACGCATACACGCGCGCGCACACACACACACACACACACACACACCTACACCTCAAGCCGTATAGATTTTAACACTTAGTAAAAACCTTAAGCATTAGCATGTTAAGTGACAAACGATGCCTGGCTCTTTAAATCATCAACATCTCTGGTTTTAGTAAAATATCTAAGGAAAAGAGTTGTAGAAACAAATTAGGAATTTTCAACTTTCAAAATAAAAACATTACATTATCTAGGTTTGTTGTGGACTTTATTTTTATAAAAATTTAAGTATTGACTTAGTGATAAGTGAATTGTCTCTGTCAAAACATTGATATTTCTAACAGCACAATCTTTAAATATAACAGGTTCTTCTTGCAAAACGGAAACTGGATGGAAAATTTTATGCTGTCAAAGTGTTACAGAAAAAGATAGTTCTCAATAGAAAAGAGGTAAAATAAAATAGCTTTATTTCTCCTATATCCATCTTCTCAGTTAACAGAATTGTTTTCTGGTGTATAATGCAAGTTGATTTTTTTTACCTTCTTATTTTTTTAAACAGCAAAAACACATTATGGCTGAACGAAATGTGCTCTTGAAAAATGTGAAACATCCATTTTTGGTTGGATTACATTATTCTTTCCAAACAACTGAAAAGCTTTATTTTGTTCTGGATTTTGTTAATGGAGGGGAGGTGAGTTTTATAATTAGTGTTTCAGTATTGATGATGTTTAGAGAAAAAAAAATAGAATTAAGAGTTTTTCTTATCGGTTTTGGAAGCAAAGCCCAGCATAGACAGCTATTTGTTGAGTAGCAATAGTATTTAAGATACTGGCTAATCAGCACAGTGCAGGATGTGGAGAAGTGAGACATAAAGTTCTTTTCCTAAGCAGCTTATGGTGTAGGTGGGAACCTCATAAAAGAACCTTGTTATGAAGCTACAGACTTCTCTGATAGTTTAGTCACTGAGCTATGTAGCAAGAACATATATTGAAACATTGGAATGAAACTTGATTTGTAATTTTTTGATAATTAACGTTTCAACAGTTGCATATAAACATTAGTCTGTCATTTTCCAAAATGTGCAACTATTAATTAGATGAGATGATCCTGTAATAAAGGGTTCTGCGATGAAGGTAGTTTGGAAAATGTTTCATGTTATAACCCCTTGGTGGTTTACAATACATTTCAGCATATTTGAGACTTTGAGAAATTAATGCCTTAAAGACAGCCAGGATTTATTTTTTAAAAACTTTTTAAAACCACACAGTCACCTTTTGTTTGTTTGAACCAAATCTAATAATAATATTCCCCAAAACTCTGAATCAGAGGTATATTGAAATACATTTTTGAGAAATGCTGCTGCTAAGATAGTAATTCCAGTAATAGCTAACTTGTACTGAGCATTCTTAGGACTCTTTATACATACTATTTTATCCTCACAACAATTGTGTTGTATAAGACAAAGAAACTTAGTGAGGTATGGAGAAGCTAATGACTTGATTCAGTCACATGGGTTAGTCCATGTGAAAGACATCCACATAGAGGTGGTAGTTAAAGTCATTGGATTGAGTTGGCTGGGAAGGTATCCAGAGAAAGAATAATAGTGGAAGAACCAAGGACAGACACCTTATCAATCCTTGAAGCACTGGGGCTAGTAAGGAGCAGAGGTGGAACTCTCCAAGACAGAAGAAAGCCCAATGAGAGAGATCATTGTTTTAGAACCTAAAGATTTAGAGTAAGAACCTAGGGCAAATTTTGCCTAGGCAGGTAACCTGATGAAGAAATACATGAAGAATTAGGAAGTCTAAGAAGTGAACTGAAGGGATATCCCTGGTGATCCAGTGGTTAAGAGTCTGCCTTCCAATGCAGGGGACATGGGTTCAATCCCTGGTCAGGGAACTAAGATCCCACATGCTGTGGGGCAACTAAGCCTATGTGCCACAACAAGAGAAGCCTGTGTGTAACACAGGGAAGACCTAGCACAGCTGAAAAGTAAAATTAAAATAAAAAAAGAAAATGAACTGGAGAATCCAGCTGCCACTGAGCTTCAGCCAGTTGCTACCATGCTGTATTTAGTCTTAATGGTTCAGCGACCTGCTCCCCCCCACTTCCCCTCGCCCCCTGCCCGAACTAAAACTATGAATTTTTACCCAAAAAAAATTTCCCAGTTTTTAAATGTTACCAGTTATTTTAGATTTTTCTGAAAGCAGCATTTGGCTCAAACAAATTATATCTGTGGGTTCTGTTTGGTCTGCCAGCCACTAGTTACCAATTTCTGAATAGTGTTTGGTTTAATTCAAATAATAGTCCAAAAAGATCAAGTAAGATAATTAACATGGCAAAATCAAGATTATTGGTCTTCATTAATAATGTTTTCTAGGGGGGTTGCCTGGTGTGGTGAGGATACTGCCACACTTGAGGATTGAAGGGTAAATAGGAGATGAGTAAGTTAGCAAGAGCAGGAAGAGTTATGGTTGGAGAGAGAATGATTGCGGGGCGGATGGGGACACAGGCAAGGGAGTGTCAAAATTCTGTACTTTGGTGCTTTTTTATCTCATGTTCAAAGAAATGAAAATAAATCCTGTTTTTATATTTATGGAGTATATTTGTTTCATTTACGTGTGAATGATCTTAGTATTCATTTTTTACTTCAATTTTATAGCTGTTTTTTCACTTACAAAGAGAGCGGTCCTTTCCTGAACACAGAGCTCGGTTTTATGCTGCTGAGATTGCCAGTGCATTGGGTTACTTGCACTCCATCAAAATAGTGTACAGGTAAATTTTTAAAATTGCACTTCTGAAAATGTCTTTTCATTATTTTGTTTCAGTTCAAATTGAGTTTTGCTTTTCTTTCCTTTTAATTTGATAGAGACTTGAAACCAGAAAATATTCTCTTGGATTCAGTAGTAAGTACTGGCTTTTAAAAGTCTGCTGGTTAATGATTCTTGTTGATGTTATGCTTAGTGAAAAAGAGTCAGCCTCAAAGGTTCCACACTGTGATTCCATATAACAGAACACATGTTCCATTCATACATGAGTGTTTTATATAACATTCTCCAAAAGTCCAAACCAGAGAGATGGAGAACAGATTAGTAGTTGTAAGGGGACCAGGGACTAAGGGATAGGAGAGTTCAAAAATAAAGCGGTAACACAAGAGAGTTCTTTTGTTCCTTTGGGTTGATGAAAGTTTTCTGATTGTAGAGGTAGTTACACAAATCTATTTATCTCTGTTGCATAGAGCTACACACAGGGCTTCCCTGGTGGCTCAGTGGTAAAGAATCCACCTGCAATGCAAAAGACGTGAGTTCGATTATTGGGTCAGGAAGATCCCCTGGAGAAGAAAATGGCAACCCACTCCAGTATTCTTGCCTGGGAGATCCCATGGACAGAGGAGCCTGGCAGGCTATTTTCCATGGGGTCACAAAAGAGTAGGACATGACTTAGCAGCTAAAACAACAACAACACATACATACACACAAATGCATGCATGTAAAAGAGTGAAAACTGAATAAGGGTGGCCGTCTAGCTAACGGTGTTATAACAATATCAATTTCCTGATTCTGACACTGTACTACATTATATAGGATGTCAGTATGGGGTGGGTGGGAGGAGGGAGAAGCTGGGGGAAGGGGACATGGAGCTTTGTGTACTGTTTTTTGCAGTTTCCTTTTGGTCTATGATTACTTCAAAATCAAATGGTCTTTAAAAGTGTCAATTTATATCCATGCATTATTTTATTTTACTGCCCCTGTATTTGTCAGGGACATGTCGTCTTAACAGATTTTGGGCTTTGTAAAGAAGGAATTGCTATTTCTGACACCACAACAACATTTTGTGGGACACCAGAGGTAAGAAATTTATCTCATTTGTCATTCATGGAATCATATGTGAAATGCAAAACTGAATCACAAATTGTATATATAAAATTTGAAATAAAAAAAATAGAGTAAAGAGACTTCTCTGGTGGTCCAGTGGTTAGGACTCTGTGTTTCCACTGCAGGGGTCATGGGTTCGATCCCTGCTTGGGGAGCTAAGATCCTGCATGCCTCATGATGTGGCCACAAAAAAAAAAACAGGAAAGAAAAGTAGAATAAAATGTTTTCAGCTTCCCACCAGCTGGGAATATCTTAATCATCTCTTCTTTTAATAAACAAATATTTAAATAATAAATAAACATTTAAAAGATTATTGGTAGTTTTTTTTTTAACTCTGATTCTGTGATACCACCAGTAACCAACAAAGATAAATTATACTTATTTGTGCTTATTTGTTTTTAATGTTAAAAGCTTATCTTTGATTTCTTCAAGCATTTGACTACATTTTTAATCCTTAAGAAAAAAATCATGAATCAGTGATGAAAATGTTCAAAAATTAATTGTGGTAATGTTAGAACAACTCTGTAAATATATTCACAGCCATTGAATTGTACTCTTTAAATGGGTGAATTGCTTGGTATTTGAATATCTTAATAAAGCTGCTTTTTTAAAGGAAATAAGCTAAAACAAATATGGCAAAATGTTAGCATTGCTTATGTTTTGATGGCAGCTCTCTTGGTTTCTATTACATATTTATAGTTTTTATATGGTTAAAATATTTCATAATGAAGCTATTTAATGGAAGAAAATAAAGCAATGTGTTGGGGGCGGGGATTGCAAATCAGAATTTATCAACCAGAACATCCTATTCTCTAATCATGTTAACTAGCAGAAAATGTATCTTTTCATTTGAGACAGTAATAATAATCCTTAAGATTTATGTTAAAGCCTTGTTATTCTAACTTCACACATACACACATTTAAAATGTCCTATTTATTGTGATCTTAAGTGCCAGGTAGTTTTTTTTGGTCATCTAAATTTTAATGTGATCAGAAACTATTAAACCCTTTTTATTTATTTTCCCATTTCTTTGTATCACATAAAAAAAGCTGAAGAATGTATTTCCTTATATATATTTCATGTGGGAAGAGGAAATAAATATTTTGGAATCTAAAATTCAAATTCACTGTTTCATATGTGCGAAATCATGATGCTTAAATGTTTTACAAGTTGAAGTGTAAATAGCCATCTAATAACTTTCACAACTTTTAAAAATAATACATCAAAGAATTGCTGTCATACTTCTTAAATAAGAATACAGTTTATTATTTTTTCTTTCACTGAAAAGAAAAAAATAAACTATAATTGTCATATTAAGAATTCTTCAGTAATGACTTGTTCTTGAAGAGAAGCAAGAATAAAGATAAACAAGATTTAATTAATTAATCTAAAATTAATTTTGTGAAAGACAACCCCTTGCAAAATACCTACTTTATTATGGTTTCTATATTTGTCGTCCTTCTCTGTCTGAACTGCATCATCATTTCTGGGGAAAATACTTGAATATGTGGTTTTTGAAAATTATCCCAGTGGACTCAAGTACCGCTGCCCAAGAGCCACTGATACACAGTGAGAATAACGAACCAACTGAAAATCTAGATAACATGTTTCATTCAGTGTGATGTGATACCTAAGATTTGTTAAATTGCTCAGTGATCCCTAGGTTTTGTCTTTATTTGTCTCTGAGCTGTTCTCATCGTTCATCTTTTCTGTAGTACCTAGCCCCTGAAGTGATCAGGAAACAGCCCTACGACAACACTGTGGATTGGTGGTGCCTGGGCGCTGTCCTGTATGAGATGCTCTATGGACTGGTACGTGTTTCTACCCTGTCGTCACGATTCCAGCACATAGTAGTGGATTTGACTTTTCCCTTTTGACTTTCAGTAATCTTGTGGATGCTTGATAACTAGATAACACTCACAGAACAGTAGGAACCTGGTGAAATGAATCCAGAACCACATTAGGGGTATGCACAAAAAGAAAACCTGTCATTTTGTTACTGGTTTTTTAGAATTATTTCTCTGCCACCCTAATCACTACTTCAAATATTCTCATCCCACTAGCATTTCTTAGAAATAGATACCTAGTTATAACATTAAAATTACCTACTTATATTCAGTTTACCCTGGCCATTCTGCCTAATTTCAAATTTTCGTAATTTCAAAAAGATGGAAAGAAAAAGATTTTATTTATCAGAAGATAATACCTTTTGGGTTTTGCCTTGTATTTTGTTTTCTCAGGATTTAATTAGGATACTGATTCTCTGCCTTTTTTTTTAAAATCACCAGGAGTCCTTTATTCCCTTTACCATAAACACCATGTCTTGAAGATTTCATTGGGGAAAAAATGATGTTTACTATGTAATCAGTTACCCCAGTTTTTATTAATTAAAGACATTATCAGCCAAAGCTGCTGATTAACAAGTCAAGTTGTTTTACCACATTGAGTTAATATCATTTCAACCAGAACAAACAACTTAGGCGTTTTAGTTAGTTTACATATCCTTGTAGAAATAATGTATGTTTTTCTTTAGGCTTTTTAAAACAGTCAGAAGTTTTTAGGTTCTCTTTGTGGTCCTGTGAGTGGCCAGCAGCCTCATGCTGGGAACCATGCATGCGATGCTGCATGATTGCATCGTGGCCCTGGATGCGGCCCTCACGAAGCCAAGCCCACCATCACTGAGACCTGAGCTGGACGTGGCTTTTCTCTTTTGCTGTGTGTGAGCGTGTGTGTCCCCTGAAAACAGGGGTGATGAAATTTAATCCCTGAGGTATGTTTTAGGGAATTTGTCTCATGTTGTTAACTTTGAATGACAGATGCCTATGACAGCCAACACTCTCTTCTTTGCCCTTGACCACAATCCGCTTTTAAAAAGACCCAGTTTTGCTGTGTTAACACAGGGAGCTCACCTTGGTGCTCTGTGACAGCCTAGAGGGGTGGGATGGGGGGATGCTTGAGGAAGGGGATATATGTATACTTATAGCCTATTCACATTGTTACTAATACAACATTATAAAGCAATTATACTCCAATTGAAAAAAAGAAAAAAAGACCTAGTTTTCTGGTTATGCTGATAACTTAGAAGACCTGCTAACCACGTTATATCTTACATTCTTTAAGTGTTTCTCATCTTGATATTTTCATATCCTTTTAATTTCTGTAGAAGTCTTTGAGAGTATAAAATATCATTGCATGTAAAATGCAACTTACTCAATAGGGAATATTTGAATCATATACTTCATTAATCAGACTTATATTAATGATTCAGAAATAAAGTTAGATTTTAAAAACTGAAAAATGAAGTTTTTCTTTCCTGTACAAAAGGGAAACAGAATGACAAGCCTATAACTTCTTTAACTTTAAAAATTATTTTTCCTTTAAAACTTTTAACTCAGTAATGAACTGGCCTATCCTCACGTTGAAGCTGTACCTTGGGTCTTCAAGCTGTTATAGCAGCAGGACACTGCCAACGCCACAAGTTCTTAGGAACAACACTTTCTAGAAATCCATTTTAATTAGTATATTACTGTGTCTCAAGAAATCATTCAGTGTTTGCCCTGTGTCAAGTCTCTGTTTCCAATAATTCTATTATTATGTCTTATGGTGAAGTTGGAGGTTGTTTTCTTTAAAACAATTATTATTACAACTTATATGCAATTCACACCTATCTGCCCAGTGTTATTGAATAAACCGGCCCTTATTCATCCGGTGACCATGTATTAAGCTCTACATTCTGCTGACTTTTAAAATCTCTTCCCGTGGTAGGCCTTACTGCAAGGGTACACAGGCCCAGAGATGCCAGTGCTTTTCTGCAGCTGCTGGATGCAGACTCTCTCTTTAGGTCAGGGCCAGATCTAACAATTTTAACCCCATTTGTGCATAGTTCAGTTAATACTAACTTTTCTTTCTCTATCTTGTTTTTTTTTGTTTGTTTGTTTTTTAAAGCCTCCTTTTTATTGCCGAGACGTGGCTGAAATGTATGACAATATTCTTCACAAGCCTCTAAATTTGAGGCCAGGAGTGAGCCTCACTGCCTGGTCCATTCTGGAAGAACTCCTAGAGAAAGACAGGCAAAATCGACTTGGTGCCAAAGAAGACTTTGTATGTACATCTTTCTCAGTACCCTCTTTATTTATTTATCATTTGAAGAAAAATCCTTATTTTATGTAGTATTTAATGGGATGAATACAGCTCCTAAAGAATAGTACCATGAAAAAGAAGCATGCTTGTCCCAAAAATTTTCACCAGGGTTTATATAAAACTATACAGTGTATAAAACTCCTGCACATGCATTTTTTTCATTTGATGTTCAGAATAATTTGATCCTTTTTCATCCTCCATATCCAGCTTTCATATCCTGTTATTTATTTGATTTCGTTTATTAGCATTTTTGCTCCCCCCCTCTTCCTAAAAGAATAATATGTGGCTTGCATTTTTTGATTGCCTAAACTTTTAGCTCATTTTGTTTAGGAAGAATTTAAGTGCCTCTTGACTGCATGAGGTAGTACCTTTTGCTTGAACTATCGTTCAGTGACTTTTTTTTCCCCTGAGAATGTAAATGTGACACCTCCTTGAAAAAATTATGGGATCTGCAGGGGTTTTTTCTTTTTTGTTTTTCACTTCAAATCAGGATAATTTAATTGCTAGCAAAGTTACTGGTGTTAGGTTAGTGAATTCATGAATTACTGAGGACCAACCATGAATTTTAAATTCATTAAAAGTTCTCAGGAATTCTTGAGGGCTGTTTGTCAGTCTTGAACTTGAGCTGTGAATAGTGAACTCCCTGGTGGAATGCAGGACGTGGACTCCAGAGTCCACTGTTTCAGGGAGCCTTGCTAATGCTCTCTCCCTCCGTACCTCAGTCCTTTTGTTGAATTCACTGGCAGAAATTGGAACCCTGGATGAATCAATCCATCTGCCATCCCTTGGCTGGTGGACAGTGCTGACGGAAGTTACACAACTGAGAATATTGGAAGCATTGTGAACTCTAGTCATTATTCTCTTGGATACTTCTCCAGCTAATGTTCCTGCTCTCTGTAGTGACTGTTTTAGACCTTCTCTCCAGATTTCTGGGCTTCCCTGGTGGCTCAGACGGTAGAGAATCTGCTTGCAGTGCAGGAGACCCAGGTTTGATCCCTTGAGCCAGGAAGACCCCCTGGAGAAGGGAATGGCTACCCACTCCAGCATTCTTGCCAAGTTTTTATGTTCCTTTCCTTCTTCACTTTTAGCAGATGCTATTGCCTTCTGTTTATAGTGAAAATAGAATCAGCAGAGATGACTCCTCACATAGACCCAGTGTTGTACATCCCATTCACCTCTTGAGCTCAGTGTGAGAGTCCCCATCTTTTCCTATGCTGCAGCCATACTGGGCTCTTGTTTTCTTGACCAAACTAATCTCTCTGCCACCTCATACCCTTTGTATGCCACCTGAAATATTCTCCCCTCATTCTATTTTGTCTGGCTCCTTCTTACTGATCTTCCAGAACTCTGGTCAGATATCACTTCCCCTGAGAAGGAGGAGAGGGATCCTGCTTTTTATACACTTTGTGGCTCCTTATAGGAGAAAAAGTGGAATGGGTATGAGTACTTTGCCAGCTTTCAACAGTAGTAACCTGGAGTGGAATTGTTTTTGATAGTAGAGCTTGTCACCTGAATTTTACCTCAGCCTCACCATGTAAAAGTCTCATTCGATGTTTTTATCCCCACATTCAGTGGTAATAATAGTTCTTTGTATCTAGGTAGTACTTTATTCTTTTCATACCACTTTTATTTCCATATTTTCCAGTGATTCTTATAACAACCTATGAAATATATAGGGCAGAAATGTTAACCTCACTTTACCTGTAAGGAGACAGTGACTTGAAAAGGACATAACTTAAGTTGGTCATTCTGAGTTAACTTCCCACGCCTCCTCTGGGCGTCTGTCCACTACACTGTTTTGCCACATTGAATGACATGAACATATGCCTAGAAAGAACTTTGGAAGGAGTGGGACCAAGTGCGAATGGTTTGGCTTCCTAAAATTCTTCAGTGAGTATTCAGTATATTTTTTAGCATTAGTAAATAATAAATCTGTTTCTTTACTATTCTAGCTTGAAATTCAGAATCATCCCTTTTTTGAGTCACTCAGCTGGACTGATCTTGTGCAGAAGAAGATTCCACCACCATTTAATCCTAACGTGGTAAGGTTACATCCAAGTCTTTCTAAATAGTGAAGTATGGGACTAGAGCTCCTCTTAATTTTAGGACTAGATCTCAAAATCTAACCTGAATAAAACTGAATCCGTGCCAAAATATTTATGAAACAGGTCAGGTACAACTGGTAACTTCAAGATGATTCATAAGATTTTAGTTACATTCAGTTCAGTTCAGTTCAGTCGCTCAGTCGTGTCCAACTCTGCAACCCCATGAATCGCAGCATGCCAGATCTCCCTGTCCATCACCAGCTCCTGGAGTTTACTCAGACTCATGCCCATCGAGTCGGTGATGCCATCCAGCCATCTCATCCTCTGTCGTCCCCTTCTCCTGCCCCCAATCCCTCCCAGCATCAGGGTCTTTTCCAATGAGTCAGCTCTTCACATGAGGTGGCCAAAGTACTGGAGTTTGAGCTTCATCATCAGTCCTTCCAATGAACATACAGGACTGATCTCCTTTAGGACATTAGATTGATACAAATATCTTCCAGCCCAGTATCTGAAGTGTTTTCTTTAGAGCATTTGTGAAACAGGAATGAGCACAGTAGGTTAAAAAAAATGCAAATTAAAGTGACCATGAGGTACCAAATTCATATCTATTAAAAAAAAAATTTTAAGTAACACTAATGCACTTTTTCCTAGATTGATGTAAAACCAGCTACAGTCAAACATTATTAATGATAATGTAAATTGTTACATCCTATTTGGAAAACAGTAAGACAGTATTATAAAAATGCTTATGTTAGCTTGACTTGTTAAATCTACTGATGGAAACATTTTAATTAAAGGATTAACAGTGTTGAAATGTTTGGAAGTAAATATATAATGATAGGGAGATTATTAATAAATCATGAGTAGGCCAATAGTGATGTTACTGATGATAGCTTCCTATGTATAGGCATATTATACTACTTATGCATTACAGCATGTAATTTATGTGTCAAATAAGCTGCCAAATTACTGCTATTACTGTTCTTACTATACATGTTTGATAAATGAAGAAATGGAAACTCAGAGATGTCACGTAGCTGGTTAAAAGAAGTAGAGCTAGGATTCAAAGCTGTGCCTGATTCAAGGTCTTTATTCCTTCTATGCTTTCGTACATGGACAAAAGACACAAAATAAGCAATTACAGAAAACTAAATACAGATGGTTTTTAAATGTATGAGAAGATGTTCAAACTCACTGACATTTAAGGAAAGCAAAGTAAAACCCCAATATGGTACTGTTTTTCACCTAACAGATAAGCAAAGATTAAAAAATTAGCTCCTATACTGTCCTCAATGCTAGTGTCTTTTACTCAAGCCTGACAATAATCCTGTGAAATAGTACTGTTGTTTTCCACATAATACAGATGAATTAACTTAGGCTCAAAAAGGTTAAATCACTTGCCAAACGTTTAAAATTAAAATTGTAGAAGTAGAACTTGAGTTTGGTTGCTTTGAAAAGAGTCCTTTCTCACTCTTAACATAAACCATGCAGTATTATCCTTCTCAGTAGTAGCCATGAACCATCAGGATACTCATAAAATATTTATAAAGTCAAGTGAAGGAACATTTTTCATTTATTGAGCACCTTCTACGTGTCAGATTTGGGGAATTTTATGTATTAACGCATCTAGTCCTCACAATAACCTTAACAGTTTGTGGTAGTATTTTTATTTTACAGAGAAAGAAGAAACAAGCTCACAGAGAGGTTAGTTTATATAAGGAATTATAGTTAGCAGCCTTCATAACCAGTATCCAAACCTTAGTCTTGTTCCAGAGTCCATGCTTTGAGGGTTATAAATGAGAATTCGATGACTTTTATATACATACATGAATATAATTTTCAGCATTCTTTCTCCTTTGTTGGAGAATCTTGCATGTGGAAGGATCTAGCATCCTGGATTTCCCTGGTCTCTGCTCTGTTTGTTTGTAGACCTGCTGGGCTACCTCTATCCTTGACTTCCACATCTGCTCTGAATTCATTTACCTTGGTTAGAGTTGGTGACTTGGACATTTTAAGGATTCCCTTCCCCTGAGTAGAAGATAACCCAGAGTTTCAGGGATGGGCTTGAAGAGTGAACCACCAGAGTTTGTTTCCCAGTTTTGATCTGTAAATATGTTGGAAGGGAAGAGTCCATTAGCTTCTATCAATTTCATGAAGGAAGGTTAACCACTGCCTTTGAGCCTAAGTAGCTACGATACTTCACTTCCCAGGTTCCAGTCCCCTTAGGTCTCCAGAGCTAAGGGTGTCATAGCCAGATGTTGAATGAATAACCTCTGTAGAATCACCTTTCACAATTTTACTTAATATTCATTTCTTCATCAAAATGCATCAGCCTCCCCAGAATTGAGAAACTGGATGGGCAGGCATTTTATGGAAGAGCAGATGCAAAATGCTCTCTTGAAAACCTCCCTGAGCCCCTTTTCTAAACTTAGAGGTGATGATGGGTAGAATAAGCAGGTCAGTTACAGGACCTGAGAGTCACGTTAACAGAGGCAAGGACTCTGTCATACTGGCCTTCCTCACCCTTCTCTCTCCTCCCTTCACCCAACGACAAGACCCTTAACTGTGAGAAGGGCATGAATAATGAAGGTCTAAAAGGAAAAAGCAGGAAATGTTTCAAAGACATGATGGAGTAGGAAGACATTTAAACTTGCCAGGAATAAATGAACAGATTCCAAAGGGGGCTTTAATGGGTGACTACATCAATGGGAAAAAAAGATACGGTGAATAATGGGATGCTTTTTGATGTTTTAGGTGGGACCAGATGATATCAGGAACTTTGATGCAGTGTTTACAGAAGAAACAGTTCCGTATTCTGTCTGTGTGTCGTCTGACTATTCCATAGTGAACGCCAGCGTACTGGAGGCAGATGATGCCTTTGTTGGTTTCTCTTACGCGCCTCCTTCAGAAGACTTATTTTTGTGAACAGTCTGCCCTCCAGAAACCGTTAAGCAAATATAAGCCTACAGATGAGACGGAAACTCCTGTTTGTGTGAATATATTCAAATATGTTTAACTAGTGCCTCATTTTTACATGTAATGTTTAAAACTATGAAAAATGTATTTTCTGCTGTATGCAAGAAAATAGGGCATTTCAAAGAGCTAAGTTTTGGATTAAAATTTGTATTCTTGTTTATTAAGCTTATTTTTAAACAAATTTTAAAAGCTGTTGTTCTTAGCACTAACCTATTTTTTAAAAAAAAAACCTTTTGCTAATGACTGTTTTTTTCCCCTCTGGGTTTACACTAACATCTACCCAAGATCGGCTGTTTTTCAGCAGTCTGTTTCAGTTCAGTTAACGTATATTAATGCCTTTGTAGCTCTCTACTTTGACCTTTGTTCTCTAATCACAACTATGCAATTGGTACATGGTTGTTTAAGAAAAAACCGTATCTTCCCATAATGAATCACTGTTTGACTAATCATTCCTTGGTAGGATTAAAATATAAAAGCATAGTTAATTCATTGGCTGCTAGCTGATGCTTTGGATAACTGTTCACTCTACAGATCAAAATAAGAAGTAACAAGAGGAAATTCTATGTTTCTGAAATACCAGTTCAAATTTGTGAATTATTTTTCCTCTGGAGGAAAAGTGAAAGTTTAATAGTTAGAAAATTTAAGTATTCCCAAAGATCTGAAGGGAAATAAAGTAACTGCTGGATTTTTTTTTAGGTGGTGCCAAAAATGAATGTCTCTGTTTCATGTATTTATATTACCAATACATTATATTTATGTTCTTTTTTGGTCTTTTGAATATTTAATATATTGTTAAGTAGGTCTAAATCTTGGTATTTGCTTTTGCAAATAGTTGTTCTTCCTAATTGGTTGATAAGTGACAAGAATATTGCACTGTCTGTTTACCTAATTGGGAATCAAAAGAATAGCAAATTATGGGTCAGTATAAATCTATACAATTTTACTACAGTGTAACAAAAGTTAACATAATTTAGGCAGATACATAGTATCTTATTTATCTTAGAAAAAGTACAGGAAATAGACCTTTAAAATCATACTTAAAACCAATTTGTGTATTTGTAAAAAAGGAGTATCTACAGAAAACTAAAACTTATGCTTACCTTGGGGTTCTGACTCTTAGTTTAGAGACTTTTCAAGTCTTGTAGGAAACTGTGAAAGAGTTCAGTGACACAGTGTTGATGCCTCAAGAACAAGCGTTCTTTCATGTAATTTTCTCTGGAGAAAGAAATTATAGAATTCCCTTTAGCTTAAAATTTTTCCACAGAAGCGGGGACGGGAGAGTGTACTTTTGTTAGACTAGTAATATTTGCATTCAATACACTGAATCTTCCTTTAGAGGTAAGACTTTAATAGCAACACTGTAAATATTTGGTTTATTTGGCACTACTGTAAGTTCTGCTTTTATACAAAGCTCTTTGCTTATTGTAAAGCAAAATAAAAACTGTAGTTTCTTGTATGATTTTTTTACTCAGCTGTTCCTTAAACTGCCAGAAATTAAAGTGCAATATTGTATGTTTTTAACAACAGATTTTAAATAGAATATTGATGTTTCTTCGGTCACAAGAAATACAGATCTTATAACTATAATAAAAACTAGCAAAAAGATTAATGATCATCTAATGCCTGCCATTATTTTAAAATTGATGATGGTTACAATAGTCATTGCAAACAGTAAATATTCATATATGTAAGGGAGAGAAGTATAACATTTTAAATATTTGGGCCTACACAGAAATTACTAGATTATCATAGGCTGACATGTTTAATATTCAGTGAGCAAAATCTCTTCCAAGTTTCAGTATTAACCTTTTTTCTCAGAGGATGCTAAGTCTTTTAGAAAATGTATACCATTTGAATAGTTGAACTATTTCATGGTTATTTCCAAAATAAACTCAAAGGTTGGAATGAAGAATCCCCAACATTCTTCATGTTATACATATCTCTTGTTTTATTGCATATGGTAGAATGTAGAGTTTCTGAACCTTTTGTCATGTTACAGGACAGACTGAAAATTACAGAATTTGGCACACCCACAGGGAGGTGTTAACTGACATAGATACTGGCAACAAGTACTCTGCTCAAAAGTTTTCTATGCCAAAATAATTTTTGAACTTAGGAGCCAGCAAACACTGTTGGGATATAATTTCAGTGATGATAAACATTTGAAAAGTGATTTAAATATTTGTAATATTTATTACTATAAAATTTTATCACTATAAAAATTTACCACTACCAATCTCTTTTAGCATATGTGTAACTTTTGTTGTGATTTACCCATAGATATACAGACCTTTGCACAAATATTTTATGACTCATTCTTTTGTATATCACACTGAGTATGAAAAGTGGGAGTAGGTATATAGGAACATTTTTGGTAGTCCTGGAATGATTTTCAATGAAATGTGTTAAAATTAATAATTTATTTCCTCATGTATGTAGTTTGGAAGTTAGCTGTTTTTTGAAGTGGTATTTTCTGCCACTTAACCTGTAATAGCAGTTTTTAACTTTTACTTATAGAAATAAAAGTTAAGTCATTATTCTACCATCTTTAGTATTTCAGCCATTGTACCACATTACTAATAAGTGAATCAGGAATTTGGACCAAAGGGAAAGTGGAGAAGAGATAGAAACAACATCACCTAAGCAATGCAAGTGCACAGGAACGTGTGGTAGTGACTTCTGTTTTCCCAGTTCCACATGTAAGGAGCTTAGAAGGTGCCTAATGAAAAGCTGAGCAGGCTGAAACATCAACAGCTTTTGTTGGCTACACATGACAGTGGAGGACACAGGGCAAACTGCTCCCCTAAGACTGCAGAGACAGATGGCCGGGTATCAAGAGCTGTGGTTTACTGGAGCAGACAACCCCTGCAGGAGGCACTGCAGGGGTGGCAAAACCTATATAACAAATGCTAGAGATCACATGCACAACTCTTTGAGAGTTCAAAAGTCCAAGGGAACCTGGTCACAGGGGTCCCCACAATTTTGTGAGATTTACCTCACAGGAATCAACCAACTTCTCACAAACACTAAGAAAACCATTTCCTTGTACTTCCAATATGAGGAGGGAAAATGAACCACTTTCAAGGATGCCAGAGCACTGTGTTCTTAACAAGGCTTGCTCCCAGAAGAAACTAGTTAATCTGAACCTGACCCACAGCAGTTTTATCAGAGCCTAACTGACAGAAGGGGAGGGAAGTACCCAAGTCCAGTCCATTCTAGTAATCCTGTCCCACCAAAGGGGCGAAGGTGGGAGGAGAGGAAACAGAAACACAGTCTGCCGGACAACTACGAAAGATGCGACTTAACATTTAGTGAGAATACCAGAAGGAGAGAAAAAGGAATAGAAGAAATATTTGAAATAATAATGACAGAATTTCTCCAAATTAATGTCAGGCACCAAATCACAGATCCAGGAAGCTCAGAGAACACCAGAATAAATGCAAAAACCACAAAACAAAACTGTACCTAGGCATAAATTAGGGACAAAAAATCCTAAAAGAAGCCAGGGGAAACAAAGATATGAATTACATATGACTTTTCCTCAGGAACCATAATAGCAAGAAGAGAGTGAAGAGAAGAGAGGAAAGAAAAAGCCCACCAGCTTGGTAAAGGAGAAATACTTTCTCAGACAAACAAAAACTGAGGTAATTTGTTGCCAGTAGACTTGCCTTCCAAGAAAAGTTAAAAGAAGTTCTTTAAAGAGAAGGGCTTCCCTGGTGGCTCAGATGGTAAATAATCTGCCTGCATTGCAGGAGACCCAGGTTTCATCCCTGGGTCAGGGAGATCCCCTGGAGAAGGAAATGGCAACCCACTCCAGTTTCCTTGCCTGGAGAATTCCAAGGTCAAAGGAGCCTGATGGATTACAGTTCATGGGGTTGCAAAGAGCTGGACACAATTGAGTGACTAACATTTTCAGAGAGAAGGGAAATTATGTAATTCAGAAACTCAGATCTACGTAAAGGAAGAACATCCAAGAAGGAATAAGTGAAGGTAAAATAAAAACTTATTTTCCTTCTTAATTGATCTAAGAGATAATTGTTTGTTTGAAATAATAATGTATTTGAGTATGTATATAGTGTATACATATGCTTACTCATACTTTTACATAAGTAAAAACATGACACCATCATACAAGGGATGAGAGGGAGAGAGTAAGATTAGTTTGTTATAACATATTTGCACTAAGGTACTTCAGTATACTGTGAAGTCGTTAATGTTCTTTGAAAGTGGGCTTTGATTCATTGTAGATATATATTGCAAATTCTAGGACAATCAACTTAAAAAAGGAAAAAGTATAACATGCTAAGAAAAGAGAAAGTAGAATGAGTTAAAACCATGAAAGGCAAAAAAAGAGTAGAAGACAAAAGCAGGAACTAGGAAATGGAAAACAGTGATGAATGTGATATTAATTCAACTATATCAGTAATCACTTTGAATATAAATGGTCTTAAGTGCACCAATTAAAAGATTTTTTTCAGAGTGGATAAAAAATCAAGACCCAACTATATGTTGTTTGTAAGAAATCCACTTTAAATATAAAGACATACAGATTAAAAGTAAATAAATGGAGACTAATACTAATCAGAGGAAAGGACAAGCAGCTATATTAATTTCAGACAGGAGACTTCAGAGAAAGGCAAGTTATCAGGAATAAAGAAGGACATTACATAATGAGTGATAAAGGAGTCAATTCTTCAAGACAAGGCAATCCTTAATATGTATGCACCTAACAGAGTATAAAACTACATTAGACAAAAATTGATAAAACTAAGTAGAGATAAATGAATTCACTGTCATAGCTGGAGACTTCAACAGTCCTTTCTCAGAAATGGACAGGTCCAGCAGACAGAAGTCTGTGAGGACTTAGTTGAACTCAACACCTTCCATCAACTGGATATAATTGACATCTATAGACTGCTTCATCCAAAAATAGCAGATATACTTTCTTCCTCAAGTTCACTTGGAACATTCACCAAGATAAACCATGGACCATAAAAAACAGTTAACCAAATTGAAAAGTATAGAAATTATATCATGTCTGCTCTAAAACCATAACAGAACAAAGCTAGAAATCAATAACAGAAATACAACTGAAAAGTCCCAAAATACATGAAGATTAAATAACATATAAATAACACATAGATCAAAGAAGAAATATCGAGAGAAATTTTAAAATACTTTGAACTAAATCAAAATGAAAACAATTATCAAAATTTGTAGATAAGAGAAAACAGTACTTGGAGGTAATTGCTTGAATTGATATAATTCAACGTATCATTGAATGCATATATTAGGGAGAAGATCTAAGAATAAGTTTCTACCTAAAACTAGTTAACTTTTGCTCCATCTTGCTGTGAAAAAAACTGCTCTAAAATTTTTAAATCTTAAAAAGGCATGACAAAAGGTCCTGTGTAGTTAGTTGCTGAAAGAGGAGAAAATGGAAGAGGGGATGAGAATGGAAAGGACTTTGATTTGCACAAAACAGTCCTCTTTCATGCCACCACTTTTCGAGTTAAAAAATTAAAATGAACTGATCACTTACAAAGTATTTATGTTTATAAATCTTCCCTACAGATGCCCTATATGAGTGTACCTAAAAATAAATGTTGCTTTTGCAAAGCATACTAGTTTTACACACTGGATATCTGCTTTAAATTTTCAAGCCTCCTATTGGGAGGCTTCTATTTCTTAACCTGCTGCTAAAATTTTGTGATGTTCCATGATCTAAAATAATAAAATGCTGTAAGTATTTACAACAATGTAGCAATCAGAAGCAATGAAATTTTGAATCTAGATAATCATTTTCATTTTCAGAGAATTTGCAACAGGCAGTAATGCACTGAATACTTAACATTTTAAGTGCTTTTTCTATGTCTAACATACTTTAAAGGATGTACTAGATACATAAAAAACTATTGGAAGATTTCATTGGACTTGGTTAATTTAAAAGTCCATTATTACTTTGCAGGGAAATGAATCATTACAGTTAAATGATTAACCAAAACTTATATATATATATATATATATATATATATATTAATAAATACCTTTCAGAAGAATCGATTCTACCTTAAAACAAGATCCATTAGCAGCCCATAGTCTAGTTCTTCTCATATAAAATAGTATTCATAACCACAGGGTTTTAGTACAAGACAGTTTTAACAGAACTTTGCTGTTGCAGATTGATTTTTAGTTCAGCAAAACATTTTCTTCACCTCATTGCTCACATAGGTAATATTCCCCCATAGGAACAAACTCTGGTGTTTTGTCAACCCTATTAAATATTGAAAGGAGTGGCTTCTATTACTTTTCCATGGAAAATGGTCCAACTTTCCAACTCCTGGATCCCCCCAACCCAATGAAATACCGCACGATTGATGACTGTTCAAAGTAATACTAACAGGGAAGGACTCAGCACAAGCTTTGGATTTTTGGTAACAGCTTTATTGAGATTTAATTCACATACCATAGAATTCGTCCATTTAAAGTGTAAAATTCACTGGCTCTTAATTTATTCAGAGATGTGCAACTATCACCACAATCAATTTTAGAACATTTTCATCACCTCAAAAAGAAACCCTATATGGGTCAGTTCAGTTCACTCAGTCATGTCCTACTCTGAGACCCCATGGACTGCGGCACGCCAGGCTTCCCTGTCCATCACCAACTCCTGGAGCTTGCTCAAACTCATGTCCATCGAGATGGTAATGCCACATCCAACCATCTCATCCTGTCATCCCCTTCTCCCTCTCCACCTATAGGTATGGATAAACAAAATGTGGTATATACATACAATAGAATACTATTCAGCCTTTAAAAGGAAGTTCTGATATACTATGATGTAGATGAACCTTGAATACATTTTGTTAAGTGAAATAAGCCAGTCCACAAAGGACGAACACTGTATGATTCCACTTATATGAGTTACCCAGAGTAGTCAAATTCATGGAGACAGAACCCAGCTTGCTCTCAGGGGCAGATGGGAAAGTAGAGAGCCAGGGAAATGGGGAGCTACTGTTTAAGGGGGGTCAGAGTTTCAATTTGGGAAGGTGAAAAAGTTCTGGAGGTGGATGGTGGGAAGTTTTCACAATGTGAATGTACTTAACACCAGTGAACTATACACTTAAAAATTAAAATGGTAAGTTTTATGTACATTACCACAGTTTAAAAAAAAAAGTTATACCCATTAGCAGTCATTCTCCATTGTCCCTTAAAGCCCCAGAAAATCACTCATCTATTGTCTCACTCTCAGATTTGTCATTTCTGAACATCTCACATAAATGGAATCAACAATATTTGGCCTTTCCTGTGTAGCTTCTTTTGCTTTGCATAGTGTTTCCAAGGTTTATCAATGTTGTAGCACATTTTATTTTATTTTTTTTTCATTTATTTTTATTAGTTGGAGGCTAATTACTTTACAATATTGTAATGGTTTTTTGCCATACATTGACACACATTTTAATACTCATTTTGTGTATTAAAAATCAGTTCAGTTGAACTGACATTCTTTTGAATTGACAAATAACATCATGTTATATGGATACACCACATCTTGTTTACCCATTTATCAGTTTCCACTTTTTGGCTTTTGTAATACTACAAACATTCACATATAAGTTCTTGTGTGAACATATATTTTACATTCTCATACTATCTATATATATATAATATGCATAATATGTAATATGTGGCACGAAATTGTTGGATCATATAGTAACTGTGGTGCTTTATCAGGGAATGTTTTCCGAATTGTCTACACCATTTTGCATTCCCACCAGGAGATTTTTATGTAAGCTTTTTAACAAACATGAACATCCTTGGCCGGTGAAAACCAACGGTTTTTTATCTATCTTTCTCTCTGTTCTTTGCCTCATAAGGAGCGAGCAAGAGCCGTTATATTAAAGAGGATGGACTGCAGGTCAGATTAGTTGCCCTGGTGACTGGGAGGGACAACCCCAGCAGGCTCTGCGCGACCAACGGCCCAGAGGTGCGCGCGTGCGCGCGAGGACATCGCTGGCTCCCGGGCTTCAGGTGACGCGCGACAGGAGAGGTTCGGTGGGTGGAACGGTGTCACACCCTGCTGAGCTGGGGTCCACAGGCACAGTCCACAGTGCCTCTGTCTGTGGGTGGAAGAGGTCCTGGAGCTCAGGGTGTGAGACCGGACTTGCTTCCATCCACTTTGATTGTGAGGTGTTTTGGTGCTGACTCGGTCGGGAGAGGAGACCCGACCTGCGCTTGTTTCTAGTGAACCAACACTTGGGTTCTTTAGGCTGTGGGGAGACCTGTCAAATTTTATCCCGGTTGGCTTATTTAATGCTTTCCCAAAGGGGTTCTATGTCTTTTCCTCCACTGTCCGCTTCCTTGATAATGCCAGTACTCCAGGACCTCCGCTTTACACCGGTGATACCCAGAGCGTTATCTCTGGTCTTTTTAAAATTACTGAAGGCCAAGCCCTGGTTTACGTCGCCCTAATTCTTCTGTCTGTCTGGACGTCCTCAGAACCGGTCAAAGTCAGCATATGTGAAATGAATTTCACCTTGTCATTTCCCTACCCTTCTCCCGACTTCCGTATTCTATTAGAGCAGCAGCATCCACCCACACCCAGAGACCGGCGTAATATTTTTAAAAGTCTAGAATCCGTCCCCTCCATTCTCTTTCATTCCTGATGCCCTAGGTTGGGCTACGTATCTCCAAAGACTAGAAACTGATCATAGATAATTCCTCTATTCCAACCCCTCTTTCCACTCTGGCAGCAGGCACTGACGTCCAAAATAAAAATCTGACCATATTACTCCCCTGTTAAAAACTTTGATGATTTCCCTTTGTCTGTATTTTCAATCCTGTTGAACCTCACCCAGACATTTCATTATTAGCAGTCTCCCATCATTCCACCTCCGAAGTATGGTCTGATGAAACACACATGGAACGTTCTGAACACAACACACGCTTTGAGATCGTTTTATTCAGGTTAGGGGCACTGAGAAATAAACTCTGAAGTTCCCCGCCTCCCTGCCGGCGCCTCCCCACCACCCCCACCGCCCCCCATGTAATAGCCAAAAGGACAGTCTCACTTTGGAAAATGAGCTGAACTCCAAGTAGCAGGGGTGTGGATTCAATAGTGTAGGTGTGAAAATTGGGAGAAGGGAGATTACCTCTATCCTTGAAAAACTTTCTCTTCAGTTCAGTTCAGTTCAGTCGCTCAGTCGTGTCTGACTCTTTGCGACCCCATGAACCGCAGCAAGCCACACCTCCCTGCCCATCACCAACTCCTGGAGTCCACCCAAACCCATGTCCATTGAGTTGGTAATGCCATCCAACCATTGTCCCCTTCTCCTCCTGCCTTCAATCTTTCCCAGCATCTGGGTCTTTTTCAAATGAGTCAGATGTTTGCATCAGGTGGCCAAAGTATTGGAGTTTCAACTTCAACATCAGTCCTACCAATGAACACCCAGGACTGATCTCCTTTAGGATGGACTGGTTGGATCTCCTTGCAGTCCAAGGGACTCTCAAGAGTCTTCTCCAACACCGTATCAATTCTTTGGTGCTCAGCTTTCTTTATAACCCAACTCTCACATCCATACCTTTCCTCCAATTACTGAAATCTCACTTAACTCTCCTCCAGTTACTGAAATGTCACCTTTAAATGTCTGTGACTCAACTATATTAAATCAAAATGTCCTAAAACAATAGAAAATATTATTACCCCTACACGAGGAAGACCACAAGTTTAGTGAACTCTTTCGTATACAGTTTCTTCTGTGCTCTCTAGTATGTTAATATTTCTCTTATAGCACATAAATTGTATAGAATTCCAACTTTTTTACATGTCTGCTTTCCCTCACTGTACTCTTGGAACAATAGGGAACTTATTTTACTGATCTTTGTATCCCCAGTGCCTAGGACAGGATGATATCCATTAAATAGTAAATGCCCAATAAATATTTGATAATGAGTAAATGGGATAGTCATTATTTTTTACTTCTCTAAATTGGCACCTCATTGAAGGCAGAATTCAATCTTAATCATCTTATCCCTAGCACTTAATACAATTTTTGGCATATATTGTTTCCAATTTTTGTTTGCTATCTTTAAATTAATTTTATTTATTCCACTCTCATTGCTATGGTTTAATGTTTTATGTTGGTCACTGATACAAAATGTAAAGCCAGAAGAGGCCTTATCATCTAATACAACCCCTTAATTTCCTACAGGTGAAGATACTTAGCCAAGAGAGGTCGAGTGATTTCCCCACAGCAACTAGAAAACACTAGATTTAGAACCATATTTTTAGATCCCTTAGGCTAGGATCTCATTATCTAATATTTTTTTCAACAACTGTATTTTGGTATACCTACTCTGTAAAGAGACATTTGAGGATCCCGTTCTTAAATTTGCAATCTTGTGAAGAATTTCATAACCTAGTCTTGAATAAAATATTTGGCAAAAGAAGCCTAAGTGTGGTTTCCCTTTAGGTAGGATTTTTCTGCACTGCTCGGCTTGTGGGATCTCAGTTCCCTGACCAGGGATTAAACCTGGGTCAAGGCAGTGAAAGCTCAGAATCCTAACCGCGAGGCTGCTAGGGAACTCCTAGGAATTTTTTTAAGTTGGAAATTTTACCTCATTTTATTTTACTCTCAGTTTTACCTTTAATAGTATAAACAGTTTTATTTTATATCCTTAAATGTAAATTTTATTTTATTTCTAGGTATTCTCATATTTTCTATGAGTATCAGTCTCTGTAGTCTTCACCAGCAATTGTGATTTAAGCAGTTAGTAAAAGAGAAGAATCATTAGCTAGAAGAAAATGTCAAATCTAAAAATGAAAGAGGCAGCCCTTATCTATCTTGACAGAAGTGGAGGCCTCCAGAAGTTCATAGATGATTGCAAATACTACAATGGTATGTTCAGCAAAGGTGACTTTATTTTAGAAACTTTAAAATAAAGTCCTACATATAACTAACTTCATTTTTAAATTTGTGTATTTTTACAGATTCAAAACAAAGTTATGCTGTCTATCGATTCAATGTTTTAATAAATCCCTCTGATATTGTTGAATTGGATGCTGAACTTGGAAATCACATTTTACACCAGCCTTTAAAAGCTGCTCAAGTTTTTCAATCAGTAAGTTAAAGAAAGAAATAATTTTATGCCACATGGAATTTTCCATAACTTCTTTGGTTTTCTTGTTTCAAATCACAGGTCTGTTATATTGCTGTTAAGACTCTCTCACTAATTGGACAGTTGCAGACTGAAACTCAAGTAAGTTTTAGTTAAATTTAACAAAGAAAACTAAGGTACAGTACTTTCAGGATAACTTGTAAATAAATATTTTTATATTAAAATATATTTTTTATTAAAACATTTTTTCAAAGTGTGGTGGACTACATACAAATCTTTACTTCCTGCATTATCACTTATAATATTAAACATTTTAATAATAAAACATTTCAAACATACCCTAAAATAAAGAGAATAATACAATGAACTTCCATATTTCTATTGCTCAGATTTAAGTTTGCAATATTTTGCCATACCTGCATCATCAGTCTTCTTCTGAAATATTTTAAGGCAAATCTTTAAAATACATTTGATATTTCACCCCTACATACTTCAGTATGTATCAACCTCTAAAAATTGTGGACATTTTTCTTTTATAACCACAATAACACTATTATCCCTTACAAAAAAACCAGTAATTTCTTAGTATCATCTAATATCCTGTCCAGCCCAGATTTAAATTTGCCCAACTGGGATTCTCAAGAATCTCTCACAGCTGATTTGTTTAAGTCAAGATCAAAACAAGATGTACACATTATAACTGGTTCTTATATCTCACTATGTCTTTTTTGATCTAGAGGCGTTTCCTCCCCCTCCCTTTTTATGCCACTGAATTTTTAGAGAAGCTAGTTAGTTGTCCTGTAAAATGTCTCATAATATGGGCTTGTATGATTATGTTCATGTGGTATTTAACTTATTCCCTAGACCTCATATTTCTGAAAATAGCAGTTGCTTCTAAATATTATACTTGCTTAGATTCAAATTCAACTCATTTTGATAAGAATAAATTATAGTGTCACATGTTTCATACTGCCCTACATTAGAAGTGCCCTCTCTGTTGTCCCACTTTTAGCAATGCCACAGTTGATCGGTAGGTGCAGATGATGACAGTCTAACCCCTCCAAATCACAGTCTACCATCAGCTTTCACCTCAGTTTTTGCAGTTATTGATAATCATTGCCTGTGTGTGTGTTAGTCACTTAGTCGTGTCTGAATCTTTGCAACCCCATGGACTGTAGCCTGTCAGGCTCCTCTGTCCATGGGATTCTCCAGGCAAGAAGACTGGAGCCAGTTGCCATTTCCTTCTCCAGGGGATCTTCCTGACCCAGGGATCGAACCCAGATCTCCTGAATCATTGCCTAGATTCCGTTATTTCATTAGGAGTTGCAAAATTGTGATTTTCCAGATTTTAGAAAACTTTCAATGTTTATTAACTAAAATTATCCTACAAGAGAAGTTTTTCTCTCATCAACTGTTTAATTACCTTGCAATACAATTTGTACAGGAAAAGCAGAAGAAATGTTTGATTCTTTCCATTTATAAATTTTCAGAGTGATGAGTTGAAATATGGCAGCCTCCAATGATGACCAATATTTTTTGTTTGTTTTTCCATTTTTAAATTATGAGGAGCTATTAATACATGAATTTTTAAATATATCTGATATGTTTCAGTGAATCTTTGTCATTTTTTTGATGTTTATATTCTCTAACTTTGGTCACTGGGAGCTTCTTAAAGTTTGTTCTTATTTCCTTTTGATGCATTTCATTAGTGTATTTTCTGCCCCAGACCTGAAACTAGCCATTTTTCATAAGGACCTCTGGTTTCTTTCAGTGAGAAATTATATTTAGAGATCTGGGCATTAGAAGTATTTATTGCTATTAGGTTGTCATTGTTTTATAAATAAGTCTTTCAGGAAATGGTGAGGAAATGTGTATATATATATATATTTTTTTAACTTTTCCCTGATTTTATTTTTTTAATTTTAATTGAAAGATAATTTCTTTACAGAATTTTGTTATTGTCTACAGAAATGTATATTTTTAAAGAAAGATAATAGTTCATAATACTTTTAATTAAAATATCAGATTATAGGATTTTGCATTTTAATTTTACATTTAAATATCTTTTAATGCTCAAAAGATTGGTTCCTAATACTAACAAATCACTTATTTGACTTACTCTACAAATATATTTACTATATTGTAATGCAAGTCCAGTTGGATCTGCATGTTTTATTAATACTATTTTTTGTGTTCTTATCAGATTAATATAGTGCTGAAGTTAACACATTTACCTCCTCTGCCAAGTTATTGTCTTGATCTTTGTGAATTTCCACGTGATTATACATCTCAAAGATTTTATATGATGCAAGGAATTGTGATTGCAATGACAACTGTAACCAAGTATACACAAGGCGCAAGATTTCTTTGTTCAGATGAAGCATGCCCTCTTTCAAAAGGTAAATATTAAAATGTAAAATTAAAATAATTTATTGTTTAATCTTAAATCATGTTTATAATTAGTTATGAAACATTCATAGCATAAAAAGAATGGAATAAAATTCGGTGTCTCCTAGGCTTCCCTGGTGACTCAGATGGTAAAGAGTCTGCCTGCAGTGTGGGAGACCCGGGTTCAATCCCTGGGTCGGGAAGTTCCCCTGGAGAAGGAAATGGCAACCCATTCCAGTATCCTTGCTTGGAAAATCCCATGGACGGAGGAGCTTGGCAGGCTACAGTCCATGGGGTAGTGAAGAGTCAGACACGACTGAGCAACTTCACTTTCACTTTCAATGTTTACCAGGGCTTCCCTCATAGCTCAGCTAGTAAAGAATCTGCCCACAATGTGGGAGATCTGGGTTCGATCCCTGAGTTGGGAAGATCCCCTGGAGAAGGGAAAGGCTACCCACTCCAGTATTCGGACCTGGAGAATTCCATGGACTATACAGTCCATGGGGTCGCAAAGAGTCAGACCCGACTGAGTGATTTTCACAAGTCTACTTTGTATAACCTTGAAATTCATTCTTTCTTCCCTATCTCTCCCCTATAATTTAATAGGTGTACTTGTGTTGCTTAAGTACTTGTTCTCTCACACAATTTTATGACTGTCCATGGTGTTCCCTCTCCACATAATTTCCTCTCTCAACCCTTTGGCTTAACTCCATTCAGTCTTTCTCCAGGACAACTTTTCCATTCCTCCCCACCTCTCGTTGGGTTGGTTGCCCCTCCTGTCTTCTCTCTGAACACTTTGTAGATGAATACTGCTTATTGAAATTGTCTGTTTTTGGTCAACACTTATTGAAATTGTGTGTTTAAATATCCATAAAACCAGTGGCTTAGCACAGTGCCTGGCAAAAAATAGCCACTGAACTACTGTGAACTCACATCCAAACCCAATTTAATTATATGTTGAATTAGGTTCATTTTAAAGGATTGAAAATAGAAAGCTAAATCTGAAGGCAAATTTAGCTTAAACTCTGTTTTCTTTCAGGATTTCAGTATATAAGAGTGCATGTACCTGGTGCTACAGAATCTGCAACAGTAAGAAATGACTTTTTGTGTAATCTATGTTCATCTTCACTTCAAGAAGACAGAAAATTTAGAGTACTTGGTGGTAAAATGCATTTATGTTTTATAATTATAATTTTTTAAATAATGTCTGATGTTTTAATGTAGAAATTAAATTGAATATATATCCTAATAACTAATTCTTTTTTGCTCTTTGAGTTCAGATAAACAGATAGTTGAAATAATTACTGCAAAATCACTTCATTCTTTTCAAGGATGTTGTAACAACCAGCCATTTAGGTTTCAATCTCTTACAGTCTTTCTCAGAGGTAAGATCTGTTTGCACTAAAATGTACTTGAATTTATGTTTGATTATTATACATGGTACTTGTATAGCTTGATAATCATAGGTCTTCTCTTTCTTGAGTATTTTAAAGAGTCATATACAGCTAATGTACCAATTATTTATTCAGTCATACAACATTCACTTAAAAGGATATTAGCACATGCTATGAAGCATTATGTTAAATCTCAGGGTGACAGTTATTTACAATAATAATCTCCCATTATTGTGTGTGTATGTCTTATGTAAGTATTGGAGTTAATGTTTTAAAATATAATGTTCATGAGGGTAGGACGTGAATTTTTACTGCACATAGTAAAAATTTAGTAAGTTCATTCAATAAATGAATGAATGAACACGGGTTAAGACCTGTGAATATAACAGATGCTGCAATAAAGGAGGAAATCATTATCAGTATCAGCCACCCAGGGAAGAGTGAGTTTTAATTAAGAAGCCAGAATTGTGAAAATGAGGATGGATTCAGCCTCTTTTCTTGGGCTAAAATTGGAAGAATTAAACTGTTTTTAAAGAGAGATTTTGGATGCAACCATGTGTACGAAACTTGAGTTTGGAAAGTAGAGACTCAAACAAGAATTCTTTTCACCATGGCTTGACAAGGACAAGGCAGGCGTGTAAGCCTAGATGACTATAATTTTTAATACCAAATACTGTGTGCCAGACACTTTTACATATATTAACTCATTTAATCAGAGCAACTCTCAACTCTTTTAATTGTTATTTCCATTTACAGTGTGGAAATGGATGCAGAGAGAAGTTAAATAACTTTTCCAAGGTTACACAGCTAGCACATGACATAGCCATGATTCAAACTCAGGCATTCTAGCTTCAAAGTCTATTATTTTAACTACTTAATTCTACAAAATACAAACCATACATTACAATATAGAAATATAAGTGACTATCCAACATATACTTCAGTAGAAAACCCTTTCTTCAAATAAACTTTTAATAGAACCCAAATGAATTTTTAATAATTAAATTAATAAAAGGAAGCCTTTTGGGATTATCAGAAGAGATACCCAGACTTCCCAGTCTCCTAGCCTTCCTTTTGATCCTTTCTTGACTTCAGGATACATTCACCAAACTCTAAGAGTCCAGGGAACAGCTGAAAAATGATTTGTTTCATTTTCCCCTTGTAATTCATACTGTATCCTTCAGGGTTTTGGGGGGTGGGGGAAGAGGGAGTGTTGGTTTGTTTATTTAGTTTGGGGTTTTTATTTTCTTAAGTCTTGGGCCTGATTCTTCCGATCTAGGTCTACAGGGTTTACCAATATACTCTCTGGAGCTAGAGAGAGAGAGAGAAAGAACAGAGAGGGAGAAACAGAGACCACTGTTTACTCACAGAGGGAGGTTAATCCTTGCTCCTGCTTGTAAGCCTTTCTTTCACAGCTTTACAACCATCCAGATTCTGTGTAATGGAGGATCAAGATTTTTTAGTTTTTCAGAATAAATTTTGAACTTGTGCAAAGGCTTTGCTCAATCCATAAAGGTGAGGGGAACCTAGTAAAGTGTCTTGTGGGTAGACTTTAGACAGGAGCAGACCCAGACGGGAACTTCAATTCAGCTACTTAACTACTTGGGCTTCCCTGGTATCTCAAATGGTAAGAATCCACATGCAATGTGGGAGACCTGGGTTCGATCCCTGGGTTGGGAAGATCCCCTGGAGGAGGGCATGGCAACCCACTCCAGTATTCTTGCCTGGAGAATCCGCATGGACAAAGGAACCTGGCAGGCTACAGTCCATGGTGTCACAAAGAGTGAATTCACATGACTGAATGACTTAAGCACCTAACTACTTTAGCCTTGTATAAATCACTTAACCTCTTGGTTTCTTCATATATAAAACGGGGATAACTATATTTGTCTTACAGTTTATAATTACATAATGTATGCAAAAGTACCTTGCCTATATTATAGACAGGACATAATACTTTAAAAAATAATTTTCTTCCCAAATAAAGTTATTACTTATAAAGTCTTTTATTAGCATTTTGTCATTTAATGGAAACATGTTTCATTTAAACAGAGTTGTCCTGTTTTGCCTTTTGACTATATTATAGGAGACTGTTTAGGTGCTATGCCACTTATTTCTTAAAGTTAATTCATCACTGGCTCAAAATGATGTATCAAAATTTATCAGCAGTAAAGTTACCTCAATTTACATTATTTATGTCACTCAATATGCACGTTATACTAAACAAAAGTAAATATTTAGCAGCTAACTGAACTATTGTTACTGGTTTTAGATCTTTGAACCATATCATCAGTAAAAGTTTCATTCAGTAAACACATATTTTCTTTTGTCTTTAATAATTTTAGATGAATCAGTGAATAAAATGAATATAGGAAATGAGTATAAGGTTATTGGAATTCCAGCCTGTGTGAAAACATCACAAACTGCTATCTGTATAGAAGCAAATAGTATCACTTTTTGCATTCCAAAAGGTAAGGGAAATGTTAATATCATTTTTAACAATACTTGCAAGTTTAAATCCATTTGTTCAGGAAATAAGTATTGGCTACCTGTGTGCTGGACACTCTTCAAAACACTAGGGATAGAGTTGTGATCAGGACAGTCAAGGTTCCCACCCTTAAATCATATGGTAGATAGTGAATAAATCTAAACTAACTGATAAGACAATTTCAGATAATAAATGCTATGAAGGAAATAAAGCAGGATAATGTAGAAACTTGCCCCTAGGAATGATTCTTTTCTTTTGGCTAAACTCTATTTAGATTTTTAAAAAAATAATTACCAATGAGAAGAACATTTTAAGATGCCAGGAGTTAGAGATTAGTCTAAAAGTTTTTCTTACCTTTGTTTTCTAGCTAAGGCAATGCTAAGTAACTTGTCATGGTCTGAGAAAAAGAGCTGGATAAAATGGCATCCTCTTCCTCATCTGAGTTTTGAGCCAATCAAGAAATAAGACAAGAGGCAAAGACAGTTGGGGCCAAAATATCTGCTTTATTACTGATAATTTTCTTTCAACTTAATTAAGCACTAAGTAAACAGAAGTGAAGAGCAGATCTACTCTTTTAATTTGGCAAACAAATATCTGAATGTAAGACAGGCTAGTTAAATCTCGAATAATAGATTTTTTTTTTTTTTTTTAATCACTAGATAGCTTTTTGACTGTGGTATTGGAGAAGACTGTTGAGAGTCCCTTGGACTGCATGGAGATCCAACCAGTCTATACTAAAGGAAATCATTCCTGAGTATTCACTGGAAGGACTGATGGTAACTGAAACCCCAATACTTTGGCCACCTGATGCGAAGAGCTGACTCATTTGAAAAGACCCTGAAGCTGGAAAAGATTGAAGGCAGGAGCAGAAGGGGATATCAGAGGATGAGATGGCTGGATGGCATCACCAACTCAATGGACATGAGTTTGAGTAAACTGTGGGAGTTGGTGATGGACAGAGAGGCCTGGCGTGCTGCAGTCCATGAGGTTGCAAAGAGTCAGACATGACTAAGTGACTGAACTAAACTGAACTGAGATAGCTATCTAGAATAACAGAAGCCCATGTTGAATGTAGGACTTCCCTGGTGGCTTAGATGGTAAAAAATCTGCCTGCAATGCAGGAGACGTGGGTTTGATCCTTAGGTGAGGAAGATCCCCTGGAAAGGGAATGGCTACTTACTCCAGTTTCCTTGCCTGGAGAATTCCATGGACAGAGGAGCCTGGTGGACTACAGTCTACGGGGTCACAAAGAATTGCACACTACTGAGCAATTAGCACTTTCACTTTCTTTCAAGTTGAATTTAAATACAATGGATTCTAGACACCTCTGTTTATTTTGAAGAAAAAAACTTATTAAAAGAATAAAAATATTGAAGAAAGAAAGCATTAATGAACAATAGACATTTTAAAGATCCTTTCAGTACTTTCTGCTGTGAAATGTTTTACAATTTACTGATTTGGTAGCAGAACATGACTTCTGTGTAGGTGAAGTGTGCTTTCTCCTGCTAAACTCTAGAATTAGGCAGATTTAACCACCTAAATGTGGCAACACCTACTCTAGGTAGGCCTCCCTTGGTCCATGGACATGGCTGAATAGAAGAAATCATTGCTCCGTGGTGACAGCCCCAGAGGAAAGAGAAAGGGAGTGAGTTATATATGCACAGCTCTTCCTCCCAAACTGACCCATTGGATTAAATCGCTCATCCCTTTCAGGAGTTGGACAGAAAAAGGGAGTGGAGAAGGTCTAGAATGTTACAGTCTGTGTTAAAGTAAGAGGGTATAAATCTTCCCATTTAACAGGAGCTTTCAAATATTCCCCATTCTGTTTTTTCAGTTCAGTTCAGTTCAGTCACTCGGTCGTGTCCAGCTCTTTGCGACCCCATGAACTGCAGCACACCAGGCTTCCCTGTCCATCACCAACTCCCAGAGCTTGCTCAGACTCATGTCCATCGAGTTGGTGATGCCATCCAACCATCTCATCCTGTGTTGTCCCTTTCTCCTCCTGCCTTCAATCTTTTCTAGCATCAGGGTCTTTTCAAATGAGTCAGCTCTTCGCATCAGGTGGCCAAAGTGTTGGAGTTTCAGCTTCAGCATCAGTCCTTCCAATGAATATTCAAGACTGATTTTAGCCCTCGCTAAAGCAGAATATTCAGTTCTGCTTTTTAGCCCTTGGTAAATGTGATACTGTTTCAAACACAGAAATATAAAGGAAACACTGAAATACAGGAGCCTCATGATCTGACTTTGCTCACATAGGTCTTAAAAGGAAAAAAATGAGGAATTTACTTGCAACCCACAGGCAATCTATGTGGGTACACAGGGTGTGCATCCTTTTGTTATGTTTCTTGGGTAGAAATGATAGACCAGAGTGACCTCCAATCATAATTTATTATCATTGTAATAATTTGAATGTGACATCATTAAAAGAACTGCAATTTGATATTTTAGATTAATGGAATTAGATGTCTGTATACTGTTTGCTTGTTTTAAAGCCCTTTTTAATATGTGTATTAATATTTACTTTCAGTTCCTTCAGGAATTAGTGACAATTTCAGGTGTCTCCTCTCTCTGACTTCCAGCTCATGCTGGAAGTTTACAGCAATACTTGCCAACATCTTTGCATCACAGATTGTTCCTCCTGGGACTTACAATTTGCTCAAGCTATGTTTGCTGATGAGTCTAGTACAGACAAGTGACCATAACAAGGAACTGGAAAATTGCTTGGATATTTTAATTGTAACAAGTGATACTATACTCATAGACAGGTAAAATATATGCCATTACAAATTGATCACAGGTTTGCATAAATCTTTTCCATAAAGATTATTATAAGACAGATGTTTAGAATTTATCTGATATAAATTGCTCCCAACTAGCAAGTACACTTTTTAAAAAGTTTACTTAAATGTTCAAAAAGCTAGGAATGAACTTCATATATTAATATAGTATGTGCAATTATAAGGCAAAAACAAATTTATATAATGAAATTTAAATTAAAAAATAAAAGTCCAATTAGCTCTAACTTAATTGGACAGATGATGTTTTGCTAAAGTTAAAATTAAATCATAATGTAAATATAGTGCTAACTGCCACATATTGCACCAATTTAATCTTCCACTAATGAGCATGAGAATATTTGTTTAACAGTCTCACCAATACTGGGTATTATTAGACTTTTAAATTTGGCCCTCTGATGGGTGGAAACTGGTATTTTATTTTAATTTTCATTTCTTTAACTAGAAGTAAGCTTTAGCATCATTTATAATTTATTAAACACTTTTTATTATTTTTCTATGAACACTGTGACCATCTTCCATTTTTAAATTAATCTGCTTATTTCTTGTTTATTTGTGATATCTCTGTAAATTAAAGCCCTTGTCTCTCTTTATGTTTGTCATTAACCTTTTCCTGTAGTATTTGGGGCTGTATGAGAGATTTGGTGTTTTGTTTTTTAGTTAAGATTTGCATAAATAAAGTGAAGCAATAAGATCTTAAGTATGCAATTTGATGAATCTAGACAGATATGTGCATTCCTATAGCCATCACCTCAATAAGATATGAAACATTTCCATTTTCCATCACTTTGGAAAGTTCCTTTATTCTTTCAGTTAATTCCCATTTCCACGGCTGATTTCTGTCACCATAGGTTAATTTTCCTGTTCTTGAATTTTGTATAAATAGAATCACACAGTGCATCCTCTTTAGGATCTAATCTCTTTTGCTTAGCATGTTTTTGAGATTGGCCTTGTTGTGTGTGTGTCAGAAGTTCACTTGTTTTTATTGGTGAGTCGTGTTCCATTATATAAATGTACCAGAATTTGTTTCTCCATTTCTCTAGTGATCAACATTTGGGTTTTGCATGTTTTGACTATATAAATAAAGCTGCAATAAACATCTCTTGTACAAGTCTTTTTGTAGACTTGTGTTTTCATTGTCTTGAAAAAATATATAGGAGTGGAATTGCTTTCATAAGGTAGGTGTATGTAACTTTATAAGAAACTGCCAAACAGTTTTTCAAAGTGGTTGTGCAATTTTACATTCTAGCCAACGAGGTAAGGTTCCAGATGTTTCTCTCCTCACCAAAATCCAGTGTTGTCAGTCTTTTTCAATTTAGCCATGCTAGTGTGTATGAAATGATATCTCATTACATTTCTAAGTTGCATTTCCCTGATGACTACTGATTTGAACTCTTCTTCATGTGCTTACTCATCTTATTTTATGAAGTGTCAAGCTGTTTGCTCACTTTTAAATGGAGCTCTGAATGCACATCCGTTGTCACATATGTATCATGAAACTTTTCTCCCAGGTACAAAAATAGTTTGTATATTTTTCTTAAAGATATATTTGATGAGCAGACCTTTTAGTTTTGATTGTTATTTTATGTTTAGTGTTTTCTGGTTTCTGTTTAATAAGTCTCTGCCTACCTCAAGGTCATGAAGATATTATTCTATGTCTTCTTCTAGGAGCATATAGCTTTAACTTTTAAAATAGGTCTATTATCTATTCCAAGTCAGTTTCTGTATATACCTTGTGTATATGCGAGGTAGGAGTCAAGATTAATGTTTTTCCTATGCATTTATCAAACTTTTCCATACTATTTGTTGAAAAAAATTTTCCTTTCCCCATTGAATTGCTGTGGTACCAGTATTGAAAATCTGTTAAACTGGTTATATGGTTATAAATTTAGGTATACAGTTTAACTGGGCATACATCTATTTGAACTTTCTTTTGTGCTGTTTTGACTTATTTGTCTATGATTATGCCTCACATTCTTGATTGTTGTAGCTCTATATTAAGTTTTGAATCAGGTAGTGCAACTTTATTCTTCATTTTTAAGATTTATTTTTATTATTTTAGGTGCTTTGCATTTTCTTAAAAAGTTTAGAATCCATATGTTACTACCAACCTCCATCACACCAAAAAAGCCTTTAAGAATTTTGATTGGAACTGCTTTTAACTTATAAATCAATTTTGGGGAGAATTTACATCTTAACAGTGTTCAGTCTTCCAATCCATGAATATGGTATATATCTCCATTTATTTAAATCTTAATTTCTTTAAGTAAATTGCAAAGGTCACACACATAATTTGTTGATTCCTAAGTATTTGGTATTTCTGATGCTGTTAAACTGGAGACCCAGTTTCCCCCTCAGTCAGTCTGTCCCATCAGGAAGCTTCCATAAGCCCCTTATCCTTCTCCATCAGAGGGCAGACAGACTGAAAATCACAAGCACAGAAAACTAACCAATCTAATCACATGGACCACAGCCTTGTCTAACTCAATGAAACTAGGAGCCATGCCTTGTAGGGCCACCAGAGATAGACAGGTCATGGTGGAGAGTTCTGACAAAATGTGGTTCACTGGAGAAAGGAATGGCAAACCACTTCAGTATTCTTGCCTTGAGAACCCCATGAATAGTATGAAAAGGCAAAAAGACAGGACACTGAAAGATCAACTCCCCAGGTTTGTAGGTGCCCAGTATGCCACTGGAGATCAGTGGACAAATAACTCCAGAAAGAATGAAGAGACAGAGAAAGTAAAAACAACCCAGTTGTGGATGTGACTGGTGATGGAAGGAAGGTCCATTCCTATAAAGAACAATATTGCATAGGAACCTGGAATATTAAGTCCATGAATCATGGCAGATTGGAAGTGGTCAAAGAGGAGATGGCAAGAGTGAACATCGACATTTTAGGAATCAGCAAACTAAAATGGACTGGAATGGGTGAATTTAACTCAGATAACTATTGTGTACAAGAATCCCTCAGAAGAAATGGAGTAGCCATCATAGTCAACAAAAAAATCCAAAATGCAGTACTTGGATGCAATCTCAAAAATGACAGAATGATCTCTGTTCGTTTCCAAGGTGAACCATTCAGTATCACAGTAATCCAAGTCTGTGCCCCAAACAGTAATGCTGAAGAAGTTGAAGTTGAATGGTTCTATGAAGACCTACAAGACCTTTTAGAACTAACACCCAAAAAAGATGTCCTTTTCAATATAGTGGACTGGAATGCAAAAGTAGGAAGTCAAGAAACACCTGGAATAACAGGCAAATTTGGCCTTGGAGTACAGAATGAAGCAGGGCAAAGGCTATTAGAGTTTTGCCAAGAGAACACACTGGTCATAGCAAACACCCTCTTCCACCAACACAAGAGAAGACTCTACACATGGACATCACCAGATGGTCAACACCGAAATCAGATTGATTATATTCCTTGCAGCCAAAGATGGAGAAGCTCTATACACTCAGCAAAAATAAGACTGGCAGCTAACTATGGCTCAGATCATGAACTCCTTATTGCCAAATTCAGACTTATATTGAAGAAAGTAGGGAAAACCATTAGATTATTCAGGTATGACCTAAATCAAATCCCTTATGATTATACAGTGGAAGTGAGAAATAGATTTAAGGGACTAGATCTAATACAGTGCCTGATGAGCTATGGATGGAGGTTCATGACATTCTACAGGAGACAGGAAGCAAGACCAACCCCAAGAAAAAGAAATGCAAAAAAGCAAAATGACTGTCTGAGGAGGCCTTAAAATAGCGGTGGAAAGAAGAGATGTGAAAAGCAAAGGAGAAAAGGAAAGATATTCCTATCTGAATGCAGAGTTCCAAAGAATAGCAAGGAGAGATAAGAAAGCCTTCCTCAAATCAACCTGCCTGACTTCAGGCTCTACTACAAAGCCACAGTCATCAAGACAGTATGGTATTGGCACAAAGACAGAAATATAGATCAATGGAACAAAATAGAAAGCCCAGAGATAAATCCACATACCTACGGACACCTCATCTTCAACAAAGGAGGCAAGAATATACAATGGAATAAAGACAACCTCTTTAACAAGTGGTGCTGGGAAAACTGGTCAACCACTTGTAAAAGAATGAAACTAGAACACTTTCTAACACCATACACAAAAATAAACTCAAAATGGATTAAAGATCTAAATGTANCATTTGTTAGAGTGAAGCCTGTATAAAGGTAATCAGAAATCATTTGTACAGTATAGAATTTTTAGGTCAATGCTTTCTATATCTGTAGCTAGATAACCATGATGGTGTGATCACTCACCTAGAGCCAAACATCCTGGAGTGTGAAGTCAAGTAGGCCTTAGGAAACATTACTACAAACAAAGCAAGTGGGTGATGGAATTCCAGGCTAGTTATTTAAAATCCTAAAAGATGATGCTTTTAAAGTGTTGTACTCAATATGTCAGCAAATTTGGAAAACTCAGCAGTGTCCACAGGACTGGAAAAAGTCAGTTTTCATTCCAATCCCAAAGAAAGACAATGTCACAGAATTTCAAACTACTGGGCAATTGCACTCATTTCACATGCAAGTAAGGTTATGCTCAACATCTTTTAAACTTGGCTTCAACAGTACATGAACCAAGAACTTCCAGATGTACACTTTGTATTTATAAAAGGCAGAGGAACCAGAGATCAAATTGCAGCATCTGTTGGATCATAGAGAAAGCAAGGGAATTTCAGGAAAATATCTACTTCTGCTTCATTGACTATGCTAAAGCCTTTGACTGTGTATCCGCACAACAAATTGTGGAAGATTTTTAAAGAGATGGGAATACCAGACCAACTTACCTGCTTCCTGAGAAACCTGTATGCAGGTCAAGAAGCAATAGCTAGAACCAGACATGGAACAACAAACTGGCTCCAAATTGGGAAAGGAGTGTGTTAAGGCTATATACTGTCACCCTGCTTATTTAACTTATATGCAGAGTATATCATGCAAAATGCCAGGCTGGATGAATCACAAACTGGAATCAAGATTGCAGGGAGAGCTATTAGTAACCTCAGATATGTAGATGACACCACCCTAATGACAGAAAGCAAAAAGGAACTTAAGAGCCTCTTGATGAAGGTGAAGGAGGAGAGTGAAACAGCTGGGTTAAAACTTAACATTTAAAAAAAAAAAAAAAATAAGACCATGGCATCTGGTTCTATCACCTCACAGCAAATAAAAAGGGAAAAAGTGGCAGCAATGACAGATTTTATTTTCTTGGGCTTCTAAGTCACTGCAGACGGTGATTGTAGCCATCAAATTAAAGATGCTTACTTCTTGGAAGGAAAACTATGACAAACCTAGACAGTGTGTTAAAAAGCAGAGGCATCACCTTACTGACAAAGGTCCATCTAGTCAAAGCTATGGTTTCTCCAGTAGTCATGTATGGATGTAAGAGCTAGACCATAAAGAAGGCTGAGTGCTGAAGAATTGATACTTTCGAAATGTGGTGCTGAAGACAGACATTTGAGAGTCCCTTGGACTGCAAGATCAAACCAGTCAATCCTAAAAAAAATCAACCCTGAATATTCATTGGAAAGACTGATGCTGAAGCTGAAGCTCCAGTACTTTGGCCACCTGATGCAAAGAGCCAACTCACCGGGAAAGACCTTAATGCTGGGAAAGATTGAAGGCAAAAAGGAAAAGGGGATGACAAAGGATGAGATAGTTGGATGGCATCACTGACTCAGTGGGCATGGTTTTGAGTAAACTCTGGGAGTTGGTAATAGACAGGGAGGCCTGGTGTGCTGCAGTCCATGGGGTCGCGAAGAATCAGGCACGACTGAGTGACTGAGCTGAACTGATGCTGTTGCAGTGGTAGTGCTTTGCTAATTTTATTTTTCAAGTATTTGCTTTGAATATATAGAGTTAGTGTTGATTTTTGTATTCGTGTCTTATACTCTGTGACCTTATATCAGTAGTTCAAAAATTTCCTCAGTTAATTCCAATGATTAGCCAGTTTGAGGCCCATTGTTCTATATAATTAGGTTCTCAGCCTGACTACCTATTAGAATCACCTGTGAAAATTTTTTTTTTTAAACTTAAAAAAAATTTATTTTATTGAAGCATAGTTGATTTATAATGTTACATTAATTTCTGCTGTGTACCAAAGCAATTCAATTTTATATACATATATATATATTTATGCCTGTGGCTCACCCCCAAAGATTATAATTTATATTTTGTGGAGGGCTTAGCATTGGAATTTTTTAAAGACCCCAAGCAATTTTTTTGTTAAAGTATCTTTGCATAATAACCTTTAGGCCCATCTATGTTTTCACAAATGTCAAGATTTCATTGTTTTTATGGCTGAGTAATATTCCATTACATATATATACATACATATATATACACACACACACACACACACACACACACACACACCACATCTTCTTTATCCATTCATCTATTGATGGACACTTAGGTTGTTTCTATATCTTGGCTATTATAAATAATGCTACAGTGAACATGGAGGTGCACATATCTTTTCCAGTTAATGTTTTTGTTTTCTTTGGATTAACGCCCAGAAGTGGAATTGCTGGATCATGGTAACTCTGTTGAGGAATTTCCACACTGTTCTCCATAAAAAGCTATATCAATATATATTGCTACCAACAGTGCATAAAGGGGTCCCTTTATCCACATTCTTACCAACAGTTGGTTTTTGGGTTTGTGCATGTTTGATAACTGTCATTCTGATAGGTATGTTGTGATATCTCATTGTGTTTTTGATTTGCATTCCCCTGACGATTTTGATGTTGACCATCTTTTCACATGACTGTTGGCTCCCCAGGTGATTTTAAAGTGAGCTAAGGTTGAGAACCACTGCCTGATAGACTTGCAAATTTTCCTTCTATATCTTACCCATTTTACATATCTTCAAATTAACACCTAAATTCCTTGGAATGACACATATTCTAGACATTTTATAGCATCTGCCTGTCCATTCTTAAGAGATACTGCTTCACCCTCACTTGCACTGTATGTGTGTGTCTGGTCATCATAGTAGATTGCACCAGCAAGCTATGATTTCTGCAGCAAGAATTTAAAAGCTAAGCTAAGCTAATCATATTCTTTTCTTATAACTTAAATTTGAGAAACGAAGAGGCTTGAGGCAATTGACAAAGAGATTAGAAAGCAAAAGGATGTATCAAGAGTTATGTTGATACATAGGTAGCAGGGGTAGTCTTGATGAACTTTTTGCAAAACCTAAATATAGAAGTTTTGAATAAATGAAAGCAGTTCATCAAAAGAGAAAGTCTTGGTTCAAATGTCATCTCTCTATAGCTTTTTCTTATTTTTTTCCAGGAAGAAATATTTCTTTTATGGATGTCCTCACAGCATTATTTTAGTACTCATCATATCGAGTCTTAGTTTTTTGTTTTCATCTCTCTAGGGTGTGAGCTTTCCAAGTTAAGGACCAAATCTCATATGTGTTTTTATGCCTAGCACTAGTGTTCAATAAACATTAAATCAAATTAAATCTAATTGTATAGCTATTATACATTATGACTTCTGAAAATCAAATATTAAATAATAGTAATTAATGATTTATTTTTTCCCTTAGGCTTTTGAATTTTAGTATAAACCTTGTGCCCCGTGGTATACGTCATTCAGTCTCCACTGAAATTTTCCCTACTCTATCCAGGAATAAGTATGGAACTGGAGCAGTTAGCATTCAAGCTGGCAGTGCTTTGCTAGCTAAAGGTGGTATCTGCTTTATAGGAGACTTGGCTTCACACAAAAAAGATAAACTTGAACAGCTCCAGTCAGGTAAACAATATTTTTTCAAATTAATTTTTACCTCTTTAATTTTTCCATCAGCGTCATGGAGTTGGGTGTGCTAAGTCACTTCAGTCATGTCTGACTCTATGCAACCCAACGGACTGTAGCCCTCCAGGCTTCTCTGTCCACGGGATTCTCCAGGCAAGAATGCTGGAGTGGATTACCATGCCCTCCTTCAGGGGATCTTCCTGACCCAGTGATCGAACCCAGGCTTCCTGCATTGCAGGCCGATTCATTACTATCTGAACCACCAGGGAAGCGTAGGACTTACCTAACAATAGAGATTATATTGTACACATTTTAGAAATAGAGAAATTATATTAAATGACATTTCTCATTTTACCTTGATAAATAAAAACAGGAATTTAATGTGTAAATGCACTATTTAAGCCTTTGCTCAGTTGTAACACATTAGTTAGAGTTAGTTGCTCAGTCGTATCCAACTCTTTGTGACCCCATGGACTGTAGCCCACCAGGCTTTGTTCATGGAATTCACTAGGGAAGAATACTGGAGTGGGTTGCCTTCCCTTCAGATTTATTTCCTCTTCTTGTCTTATTACACGAGTTAGGACATTCAAGATGATGTTGAAAAATAGTGGTGAAAAGGAACATCATGATCTTGTCTTGTTCCTGACCTTAATAGGAAAGTTTCAAAGTTTCTCACCATTATGTATGATGTTAGCTGTAGGTTTTTTGATGAAGTTCTTTTTCAAGTTGAAGGAGTTCCTTTCTATTCCTAATCTAGTAAGAGTTTTTAAATAAAGGGTGTTGAATTTTACCAAATGCTTTTTCTGCATCTATTGACATGGTAATGTGGTTTTTCTTCTGTAGCCTGTTGATGTTATGGATTACATTAATTGACTTTCAAATGTTGAACTAGCTTTGCATACCTAACATAAATTCTACTTGGATGTGTTGTATATTTATTTTTATACATCACTGGAATTAATTTGCTAATATATTGTTGAGAATTTTTGCCTGTATATTCATAAGAGATATTGGTCTGTAGTTATCTTGTTATATCTTTTGTCTGATTTTGGTATTAGGATAATGCTGCTTGAGCCAGATTTATAACTAACAAGGATATGGAGAGATAAGTATTGGGCAAAGAAAAGTTAGGACCTTGCGTTCTTGGCATACCAGCAAGCATGTGCAGCAATACACAGGAGACATAGCATATTGCCTCTGCCTGCAAAAATACTCATACTCATATGTTCAACTGATTTTTGATCACAACATCAAAGCAAGAAAATGGGGAAAGTTTTTTCAACAAATGATGGTGGAACATCTGGAAAAGAATTAGTATTTGCTCATACCTCACAACTATACACAATAATTAATTAAAGATGAATCATAAGCCTAGATATAAAAACTTAAATTATAAGGCTACTAGAAGAAAACATGGGAAATCTTTATGACTTAAGGGTGTGTTGTGTGCATGTTCAGTCATATCTGACTCCGTGACCCCATGGACTGTATGTAGCCCGCCAAGCTCCTCTGTCCATGGGATTTTGCAGGCAAGAACACTGGCTGCTGCTACTGCTAAGTTGCTTCAGTCGTGTCCCAACTCTGTGCAACCCCACAGACAGCAGCCCATCAGTCTCCTCTATCCCTGGGATTCTCCAGGCAAAAATACTGGAGTGGGTTGCCATTTCCTTCTCCAGAGGATCTTCCCTACCCAGGGACTGAACCCTGATCTCCTGCATTGCAGGCAGATTCTTTACCATTTGTGCCACCAGGGTAGGCAAAGATTTTTTCGACAAAACCCAGAAAGCAAATAACAGAAAATAATTGATGAGTTGGATTTCATCAAAACTAAAAAGTTATACACATCAAAAGACCACTTAAAAAGTGAGTAGGCAAACAAAGGAAAATAAAATAATTGCAATACATATATTTGACATAGGACATATACCTAGAACACAGAAACAATTCCTACAAGTCAGTAATTTAAAAAACAAAGTATATACGTGTTAGTCACTCAGTCATGTCCAGTTCTTTGTGACCACATGGACTATATAGCCCACCAGGTTCCTCTGTCCATGGAATTCTCCAGGCAAGAATACTGCAGGGGGTTGCCATTCCCTTCTCCAGGGGATCTTAACAACCCAGGAATCGAACCTGAGTCTTCCACACTGCAGGCAGATTTTTTTACCCACTGAGCCACCAGGAACCTCCCACCCTCCACAAAAAAAGCCCCAAAGAACCAGACGCAAAATACCAGATTGTGTGTATTGTCTCACAATCTTTTCCTCTTTCATTCTTAACTTAGATGATCTACTTTCTTTTTTTTTTCCCACACAAAAGAATATTGCTTAATTTCAGCTTCCTTTGTAACCTGCATGATACGACCAGTCTCCTTACCCTCTGCCCATTCATCCCGGTCCACAATTCCAGCTTCATGCTTTGGATTAATGGTTCTTATTGTCAGGGGATACAGAAACATTCAAATATTTTTCTTGCCTTGTTCTTTTTATGACAAATCCTCTAATTTAGCCATATCCTGCAAAACCATCAAATTTTCCTGTATCTTTGCTATCCAAAATTTCGTTTGTAAAATTCACATATTTATTAATTTATAGCTATATTGACCAAAGTGAACTTAAGTAACAAATGGATAATATCTCTTGACTTAGCCGTGGAAAGTAGAAGCATCACAGTCTACATCTCAGGAAAAAAGTTTGGGGATGATGTGGATCAACAAATGACTTTTCCAATTCAGTGCAGTTTTTGGTCTTTTCTTGATATGGATTCACCTTCAAGGAGAAATATACAGAAAACCAATATGCTAATTGGTCAGATGGTAAAGTATATGTATATTTTATTGTTAGAGTGTTCTTCAAGGAATTTAGTCATGGATTTTAGTCTCAATTTTTAATAGCAATTTTATGTTTTATTTTTATTTCTATGCTTACTTTCTATACTTACTCAGATCCTGGAACTAAATAATGACACAGTTGTTTGCAATTTTTTGTTTTTTAGTCATACAAAGCAGGTATCTGCTCACTAGAAATTATTATTTGAGTAGGTAGTGGGGGAGGTTTTCATGAATAATGTGTAAGAAAATACTCAATAAAGAGTATTTTAAAAAATTGGTTACTGCAAAGATCCGATGCTATTTGGAATCACTTTAAATGAAGTATTATTTATAATTATTATTTAAATTATTAATAGAGTTATAGTGTTAATGACATTAAATTATGAAATTATAATTGTAATAATTATTTTATTTTGTTATTATTTAAAGTGTTTGTGAAAATGCCAGTGTTTAATATTTGCCTTCTATATTTTTGTTTGAGGTAGGATTGCAGTTTAATTCCAGCTAATCTTGTAGAGGCATTTGCATTATTGATTAACTGCAATGAATCATCTCCTTGCCACCCACTTCTTCCAACTGTGCAACATACTTTAAAGAAAGCCATTGATCCTGAAGGGCTGCTTTATTTAGCTTCCAAACAGTTCACAACTGAAGATTTTGAAAAGGTACAGGTAGAAAAAATGAGTGCCAGGAATACTTGTTCTAATGTTTCTCAATTTAAATAAAACTCCCTTTGAACATGCAATTTTCCTTATTTAGAATTTTCTTTTATTTCAATTTGCTTTCGGCTTTTAAGCATTTTAAGAACATTGTATATAAAATATTTTAGATTAGAATTAAAAACTATAAGGACATAGATATTAAAGTGTTGAGTTTATTCTTTGAATCACTAATCAGATCACCATGGTTTATCTTTCCATTAAAACATTCAAAGTAGAATATTTTTATAAAACACTATGATGAAAGGCTTTCTAGATACACAGTTTTTTACATTTTACAGACTATTCAAAGGGAATAGTTCTAACTGTAGGGAGTATCTATCATGACTCACAAACCAATTTATTTTAATGTCTTGACCTGAAAATATGTGTGGCATGTTCAGAGTTCCTGAGAGTTGGATGATGCAAATTTAGTAATGACTCTCATAGCTATTAAAGGTACTCAAGTATTTACAAGTGAAGCCCTTTTAATATTAACTGTTGAGACATCTGTCTACAATAGAGTTAAAGTATCTGTGTAGGATAGCTAAATGGCCTGTAACATTGGGAAGGGCAAATCCACAGGTCAGTAAATTTTTTGTTCATACCTGCCTCTTTTTGTAGCCCAAATTGCATGATAAAAGATTGAAAGGTGGAGTTTATTCACATAGATTAAAACAGAAAAAGAACAATATTTATGATAAAATAAGGTCTTTTCGTTTGTTTTAGTGTGTATAAAAAAAAAAGGCAATTAGTCTTTAGGAATTGGGGTACTAAATGATATAGACATGCTAATAACCTGGAAGACTTTTTGTCCAGTTTTTCCCTGAAAAACAACAACAAAAAAGTCTATGGATTTATTAATTAGTCAGGCATTTACTGAGTACTTAATATAGATGAGCCTCTTTAAGTTCTTTTATATTCTCCTAGAAATGTACATTTTTCTTCCTTAAATAGTTTATCATTTAATTGAGTAATATGAAACAAGGGACAATTTAAAGCTATGCTGGGTTTTGCTGACTATAAGTATTGCTTGAATTCAGAAAGGAAGGTATCAAGTAGAATGCAAGAGTTAGGAATAACTCAAAAGGTGGTGAGACTTTAGTTGGGCCTTAAGAAAAGGTAAGATTTAAATTATCCTCCAATTAAAACTAAATTTTACAAAAAGGAAAAAAGAAAACAAAAGGTTAGATTTAAATGACAAGAAGGATGGACATTCAAAAAAAAAAGCTAAAAATAAGAGCAAAGATATAAAAGTAGAGAAGAGTATACATGGAAAACTATAAGAAGACCTGTCGACTAGAGCAAAAATTATATTATGTAGTCATCAAGATTTGGAGAAGGCAATGGCAACCCACTCCAGTACTCTTGCCTGGAAAATCCCATGGATGGAGGAGCCTGGCAGGCTGCAGTCCGTGGGGATGCTAAGAGTTGGGCAAGACTGAGCAATTTCACTTTTACTTTTCAATTTCATGCATTGGAGAAGGAAATGGCAACCCACTCCAGTATTCTCGCCTGGAGAATCCCGGGGACAGAAGAGCCTAGTGGGCTGCCGTCTACAGGGTCGAATAGAGTCAGACATGACTGAAGAGACTTAGCAGCAGCAACAGTCATCAAGATCAGGCAGTTGTTGAAGAAGTTGACAACTGGAGGCCAGTGCTGGCTCCCAGTGCTATATTCCCAATAGCAGAGACAACAGGTCCTTTATGAAGGAGGATGTGAGTGTCTTTGCCTTGATTCATGGACCTAACACTCCAGGTTCCTTGGCTTTGGATTACAGAATGAAGCAGGGCAAAGGCTATTAGAGTTTTGCCAAGAGAGCGCACTGGTCATAGCAAACACCCTCTTCCACCAACACAAGAGAAGACTCTACACATGGACATCACCAGATGGTCAACACCAAAATCAGATTGATTATATTCTTTGCAGCCAAAGATGGAGAAGCTCTAAACACTCAGCAAAAATAAGACTGGCAGCTGACTGTGGCTCAGATCATGATCTCCTTATTGCCAAATTCAGACTTAAATTGAAGAAAGTAGGGAAAACCATTAGATCATTCAGGTATGACCTAAATCAAATCCCTTATGATTATACAGTGGAAGTGAGAAATAGATTTAAGGGACTAGATCTGATAGAGTGCCTGATGAACTATTGACGGAGGTTCGTGACATTGTACAAGAGACAGGGATTAAGACCATCCCCATGGAAAAGAAGTGCAAAAAAGCAAAATGGCTGTCAGGAGGCCTTAAAATAGCTGTGGAAAGAAGAGATGTGAAAAGCAAAGGAGAAAAGGAAAGATGTTCCCATCTAAATGCAGAGTTCCAAAGAATAGCAAGGAGAGATAAAAAAGCCTTCCTCAGCGATCAATGCAAAGAAATAGAGGAAAACAATAGAAGGGGGAAGACTA